TAAAAGGATGTCTGAAATTGAAAATTTATAGACACCGTACGATACATAAGAAAATTGAAAAGAGCACTAAAGACGAGAAAAGTAAAAGATGATCCCAAAAGTAAAAGATGATCCCAAAAGAAATTTCATTGAATTTGATGTCGATTGAATATACCTTTTTCCAGATTGTAAAAAAGTCTATTTATAAACCTATGTCAACCGTCCCAGATCGTGCCTCCACAATCGCTCGTCAGTTGTAATTTCTTCCAACCGCTGTAAAACTCCTATTCAACCGCGGCATTTAACCAACTGACCTGTGATCCTGGCAAGTTCCCTTTTCTTTATCTGGCCTTCATCAACCGTCCATACAACCTCCACATCAACCGACCTAATCACCCACCGTCTCATTTTCCTTCGCCCGACTTCTCCTTGTTCGACTTCCGTGTCAACCGACTTAAACACCCACTGTCTCCTTTTCTTTTATCCGACCTCCGTATCAACCGACCGCCTGATCGGGGGTCTTTCGAAGAAGCTCATTTTTTGATAACGCCTTAATCTTTGGGTCTACACACCAGCCCATTTAAAAAACCTTAATACAAGTGACAGATGTTATCATAAATCAATCTCTGGTCTTATTTGCAAATTCATTCTCGAAAACTCTATACATTGGTTTTCCTCATTCAACAAATATTAAAATATTTTAAATTTTTATAGATAAAAATTAAAGATATTTTATTATTGTATAATTATTTTTACTAAATTTTTTTTTAATAAAATATATAAAAATAATACCTTAAGATTGGAAATGAATAATCTTTTTTTTTTTTAAAAAAAAAAAAACAAACATTATAATCAAACTATTGTTTAAACATAAGTAAACAAAACATAATTTTCTTTTTTTAATTTTTTTTATTAATAAAGTATGCATTAGTTGATTGGATTGTGTAAACGTTTACTATTATTTACAAAATAAAACACACATTAAATACATTTTATTAAAATATAATTCTTAAATTGCTTCCATGTATATTTTATATTTATATGTTTATAAAAATATATTACAACATATTTCATAATGTATAGTCCTAAACCAATTGTTTCTCTCTTTTTACCTTCTAAATCCAATATAAATTAAAAGCCAGGCCCACATTTTATTTTATTTTTTTTGAAACTGTTAATATTAAATTATTGATTTTTGTGGATAAATAGAATATATTATATACTGTGTTAATATATATTGTAATCCTTCCGTTCTAGGGTGATATTCAAACTGAATTGAAATTTAAAAATATATTAAAAAAATTTAAATTTTAAATAAATAAAATTATTTGCAAATATTTTAAATATTTGAACTGAAATTGAACCGAATATAATTATTGATATAAAATTTAAAATATAATAATATAAATATATAAAGTTCGGTTAATCGAATCGAAAAAAATATCAAATCAAAACTGAATCGAACTGAAGAAATATCAAATATACAGTATTTGTATTCGAACTGAATTTAATCAGTTAATTGAAAAACCTCTACTCTTTTCTAAGTATCATGTCACAATTTATGTTTTTCTTCGTCTCACATATTATGTTACTTTCTCCGTCCAACTTCATTTATCTACTATTTCTATTTTCGTTTGTCCCACGTAATTTGTCTTTTACATTTTTGGAAATATAATTATATACTTTAATAACATTTTAAAATTTACGAATTATAATTTTTTTAATTTTAATTAAAATATTTAATTATTTTAATTTAATCTATAATTATTTATATTAAATCATAATTATTTTTATTAATACGCTTCTTACTTACTTGCTAATTACTCGATACAACTCCGTGTCTAACATAAAATAGACAATTTAAGTGGAACGAATGGAGTATTTTTTTTTTTAAAGAGAATTACACATTTTAATCAAAATTTATATTTTAATTTTCAAAAATTTTAATTATATCGGTTAGTTATCAAATTTTAATTTATAATTATTTTTATTATATTTGAATTACTTTTACTAATATACTTATTATTATTTATTAATCATATCATTCCTAATTTTTTGTTCTATTTGGTACTAAGTATTTTTCCGTAATATTTATGAAAATCATACCATCAAAAACAAATTGAGTGAACAAACTCATTATATTCAACACCTAATTTTCGTAAAAAAATTATTTTTTTCATGCAAAATATTATAAAAATATCTATTTATATTGAATTAAATATTTATTTTATTAAAATCTTTATCATTTCAAAACGTATAATTATATGTTGTTTTCAAATATTTTATACTCTATCCGTAATTTAATTGTGCGGTTATATTTTTGAAAATATATGTTAATATGAATATATATATTTTATTTTTTATAATAAAATAATATAAATATTATTTTGTTTTTTAACTAAAAAAATTTAAAAAGAATATTTTTCTATGAGAATAGATCTGGAGGAATCGAGTATTATCAATTTATCATTGAGCTACAAAATTGGGCCATTTCGAATTATATGATAAGAGTCCAATATTAGACCAATTTATTGGAATAAAGGTTTTTACAAATTTTTGGGCCTTGGCCTATTAAGTTGTATTTATATATATTTAAAAAATGAATATTAAAGGGTGTGTTTATTTGTGTGATTTTACTTATGATTTTACTATTTCAATTTTTATTTTTAAAAAATGTTAAATCAAATATCTAATTTTTATTTATTTTATTACATTTAAATTTTATTTTACATTCAAAATATCAAATCAGTATATATTTATACAACATCGAACAATTATTTCAATTCAAAATTTTACTATTTAATATCAAAATCCAAATTTAAAACCTGACAAGTAAACACACGCCTTTTAGAAAATATTGCATGTATTATTTTAGAAGTTTTTGTGAAATACTTTTTAAAATACTAAGAAATCTCGTACAACTTTTAGTAAATTATTGCCAATAATTTATAAAACACTACATAATTTCAACTAATTTTTTTTTAAAGTCACATAAAGAATATTATAAAATTTTCAAATTACATGTGAGTTATAAATAAGTTTTAATTATTATATTACACTAAATTATAATCAAAACGTTACATTAAACACATATTTATACCACATTAAATAATTATTTCAATTCAAGATTTTACTATTTGTTGTGAATTTATTTTCGGATATTTTGGATTTATCGAAACGATACATCGTATAAAAATATACAATTTGAAGCGAATTCGAAATAAACCCAAATCAAATTGAAATCGAAAACGAAATAAACACACTTATACAAAGGCTAAAAGCAAAATTGAATTTTGGGAAGGGACAACAACTTTCGGCTCAACGGACATTGAAATTCCTACCGGTATCACTCACAAAGAAAAATCGCTCATCGGAATTGCCCAAACCTCACCGGAGAAAACACTTAGGGTGTGTTTGTTTGTGGGTTTTAGTTTTTCAGTTTGGATTTTTGAATGGTAAAAAGTTGAATTTGAATAATTGTTTAATGTGATATGAATAGAGGTTGACTGTGATGTTTTGAATGTAAAATAAATTTATAATATAATATAAAAATAATTGTTTGATGTAATATTTTTGAAGAAAAAAAATTCTTAATAATAAAAATATGTGAAAAAATCCATCTTACAGTTGTCTTCTCTCTCTTTTCTCACCCTCTCGGCTTCCTATTTTTTTTTCTTCTCTCTGTACGGTAAGAAATGAACAATTTTCCTAAACGCTCGATATTTCTATATCTCGGAACTACTCAAATCTAATGGGTGTTGGGTTAGGAGTTGGAATTGGGCTTGGGATATAGTTTGGGTTTTTTTTGGGAGAAAAGGGGTTGGACCGATCCAATGGACCGGACTATGGAGTGGACCAATTTATTTTATTTATTGAGGAACTTGTTGGATTAGGTCTCAAACGACCAAAATTTTCAATACTATTCAATTTTGAAAATGCAAAATCTAAACCCTACAAAACAAATACAATATAAGGATTTGTTTTATTGTTGTTTACAATTAATTTGAAATAAATGTTTGATTTAAATTTTTGTTTAAATATTATTTTGATATAATATTTTTTTAAAAAATAATAATATATTTTTATTAAAAAATATGCGAGTTGAATAGTAATATTTTTATTTTAAAATAAAAATTTGTTTAGTTTTAGATTGACTTTGTGTTTTGAATTTGATTTTTAATTTTAATAATATTTTATTGCGAATTCGATAATGTTGATTTATAAATAAAAAATAATAAAAAAACATCATGAGTTTGTTATTCCGTACTATTTTTAATAAAATATTTTATTTTTATTTTAAATATTATATCAAAACGCTAAAATATTAAAATTAAAATTGAAATGAACATTTCATTTAATTTGAAAACAAAATAGAACAAACTCTAAACAAATTCAAACAAAGAGATTGTTTGTTTATTATTTTGATTTAAACTTTTTGAATGTAAGATATAAAAAATTATATTCGTAATATAAAAATAATATTTATATTTTATATTGATTTTTGTAAAAAGAAATTATATATTTTAAATTGTATAAAAAAATACTCTCTTTCTCCAATAACAATATAATTATTTTTCTATTTTTGTCAGTTTCATAAAAAATATTATTTTATTTTTTAGTAATTGTATTGTATATCTAATATTACACCTTTATAATTTTACAATATATTATATAAATTTTATTACATTTATATTATACAATACTAATAAAGTTATTTTAATTTTTTTATTTTTATTGCTATTACTTTAAAATTTTGTGAAAAATATAAATGGATAAATAAATATAAAAAGACAAACCCAAAACGGTAAAATGTAATGAATATCTAAGATATTTTTTTCAAAGGAAAGTTCCAGCTACCCAAAAAGTAAATATTCAATGGGGCCCACCAAGAAAAATATCTTCTTTAACGCCGTTGGTTATCAGGCCAGCATATTCAGCGAATATTCCGTTAAACGGCGGTTCCATTACTAACCCTAACGTCGGAAGCCTAGCCTTCTCCGCCTATATATATTATTCAAGTGGAGTAGCCTTCCTTTATCAGTCCTCCTACACTCTCCCCTCCTAAATCTCAAACCCTAATTTCGTCAATCGTTCATCAATGGCTGCAGCTGATGTCGAGTTCCGGTGCTTTGTTGGTGGTTTGGCGTGGGCGACGAACGACCAGACTCTCAGCGAGGCTTTCTCGCGGTTTGGAGATGTGATTGAATCGAAGGTCTGTTTGTTGCAGGGATCGTCGGATCTGACTCGATTCCGTTCTGATCTGTGTTAAAAAAACGTGTTACTGTTACTCTATTGTTACTCTGAGTTACTACTGTTACTGTGTTACTGTTTATCCGCTGGAACGGTACGTTCTTTCTTCCTCTGTTTGGGAGGGTCGAAGATCGAATTATCGCTATTCAGTATTATATTTTGCCGGATTTCGTGAGATTTCGCGTGGATCTGATTTTCCGTTGCTCGATTTTTGTGTTCTTCAGGTTATCAACGATCGCGAGACTGGAAGGTCGAGGGGATTCGGATTTGTGACGTTCAGCAACGAGCAGTCAATGAGAGATGCGATTGATGGATTGAACGGTCATGAATTGGACGGCCGTAACATTACTGTGAACGAGGCTCAGTCTCGTGGTGGTGGTGGAGGCGGCGGAGGCGGCGGTGGATTCCGTGGTCCTCGCCGTGATGGCGGTGGTTATGGAGGCCGCCGTGAAGGAGGCGGTGGTGGTTATGGAGGTCGCCGTGACGGTGGTTATGGTGGTGGACGCTCCGGCGGTGACCGTGGTTATTATTAGGGTGTTGTTTAGTTGAGTGCTTTGAGTTTGTTTGTTTTTGCTGTGGGAAAATCATCAAATGACTGTTAGTGACTTGTTGTCCTTATGAAATGAAATGTGGAATGCTTTTTATGATTGTTTGGATACTGATGTTTGGTAGGAGTATTGTTTTGTTAGTATAAAAAATGTTTTATTAAAAAGGCTAAAATATTTTTATTAGGATTATGTAATAAAAATAATGGTACATAATGTAAGTTAAAAAATTATATATTAGGAAATAGTAAATTTATTATTTTGTGACTTAAAAAAATAAAAAATTGATAATTTTATAAATTAATTTAGAATATGTTATAGAAATGTTATTATTTTTATATTAGTATTCTTTTCAGATTTTAATAATTTATTTATTTATTTTAAGTCTTGTTTTACAACAAAATATTTTTTTTTTCTTTCTTTTCATTTTTTTTTAATAATTTTACTATCTATTAAATATTTTTAATCTTTTAATCTTTTGATTTGTTCGGTTAGTCTACTCTTTCTTTTTATCTTTACTTTTAATCGGTCCCTATTTTTTCTGCTCGGCAGCTTAATTTGTTATTCATATTTTTTCTTTAAAATATAATTGTATTTTAAATTTTATGATTTTAATTTAAAATTATTTTATTAATATATTTTTAATTATTTATTAATTATATTTTATTTAAAATTCTGTATTTATAGTAATATATTTTACTTTTATAATACTTATGTAATTTTTATATCTCATATAATTTTTTTTTTTCTTCAAACAATTTTACAAATATATATATATATCTATTAACTATGAATTGTATTAATAAAAAATAATTGCGTGAATACTACACCCCTTATAGCTACGAATTAGTAAAAAGGTTGTATAGGAATGGGAAAGAAACATTTTATAGGTAACAAAACCCTTCGATCTGATTGTTTGTAAGTTTTTATTTCAAATTTTACTTTTTAAAACCTAAAATTTTAACCACATTAGCAAACGCACATTTTTCGAGTGTGTTTTTTTGGGAGATTTTTTCAAATTTTTATTATTCATCCAATTTTTTTCCTTAAAAAATATCAAATCAAACATTTATTTTTTATTTTGATATTATACTAAAAAATAATTTTATATTCAAAACATCACATCGACGCCTACTTATATCACATCATACAACTAGTTCAATTCAAAAATTTTATTATTCAAATTTCAATTCAAAATCCAAACTCCCAAACAAACACACCCGAATTTGTTTTGTTATTTTTTTGTTTTATTTTAAATAAAAAATGCTAATTTTTATTATGTATTGTTTTAAATAAAAATATACTTGTATGCTACTAGTATTTTATTAAGCGACCTTTGGTACAAAGAATATTAGTACTCCGTCCGTCCCAACAGAAGAATAGTCATATTTATCATTTTTGTCCGTCCTAAAATAATAGTTTTATTTTCATAAATAATCATATTACTATAAAATTACTTTTATTTTTTCATTATTATTACACAATTGTCACTACTTTTTATATTAATACATTCACAAGGACAAAAAAAAATTTTATCCATATTTTTTACTCAATGCCAAACACAATTCAGACTATAATTTTGGGACAAATGGAGTATTATTTTAAAAGATAGTAAAAAAAATAAAGAAAATGAAATAGAATTTAAAAAATAGTAAAAAAATAAATATAAAATTGAAATAGAATTAATTTATTTTTCAAACTTTCAGTTCTTTTGTTTAATTAAATAAGATAAATGAGATTATTTTTATTTTTATTTTTTTACCAAACAGACCTACCCAGTAAAGTAATGTCTATTTAGTTAGAAAATTATTTTACTGCACAATAAGAAATGAAAATAAAAAATTTATTAGTTAACAATGGGTATTATTTTTTTAATATAATATATTAAATCAAAATATTATTAAAACAAAAACAAAAATTATGTTTTTATACGAAACAAAAATTATGTTTTTATACGAAATCAATTTTAGATAACAATTTAACAAATCATTTGATTTTGCAATAATATATGTCTTTGTTTGGTGTTTATATTAAACGAAAATTTCTACTCCATCTATTTTTAATTTTTATTAATTAAAGAATAATAATATTTTATTAATTAGTAAAAGTATATAAAATATTTTAACATTTTTGATTTTACAAGTACAAAAAAATTTATTTTTGTAAAATTGATATTTATATATTAAGTATTTTCATAATTAAAAAATAAATACTTTTAAATATGAGTGACAAATATATATATATATATACGTTATTGAAATGAAAAAAAGTATTATTCAATACATAAAAATGTTATTTAAAAATTTACTATTAAAATATTATTTAAATTTAAATTTTTTTTTTTAAAAAAAAAAAAACAGAAAAAACAGAAACCCCATACCCTTCGAGTTTGGGTATGTGAGGAACCCAAACCCCGGAACATATGTAGCCCAATTCAATATGAAGCTGGGTTGTTATTATTGATCCGTAAAAATTAAAATCAATCAATTTTGATTCTATTATAAAAGATTAATTAATTTTAATATAAATAATAATAATAATAATAGATATTATTATTATTATTATTATTATTTTTTATCTCATTTAACTCAAAGCTCGATTTTTTTTTTATTTTTTATTTTTTATAATGTGAGAATTCACCATCGTTGTTTACCTGATACCTGCAAACCAAATCTCACAAGGATTAATATTAATATTATTATTAATATTTTAGAATCTAAAAATGCTAGAAACATTATTTTATTTAATTATTTATATTTTAGTCTATATATAAAAATTCTTGGGGCGAGAGAATATAAAGGAATTTGAACAAAAGATATTCAATCTCCCGAAAGATTTGAAAGATATTGTGCTAATTAATTTAAAAAAAATAAATATATTAAACATATTTTTATTATTTTTATATTATTTACATAATTGCATATATTTCACATTATTATTATTTTATTTTCAAATCAAAACACGAAATAAACACACCCAAATATTTGCAATAAACAAAAGTTTATTTGAAAATGCAAATAAAAATTTGTAATAAATATGTTACAAAAATTTGAATATAAACTTCTCCAATAAACTTGTTCTAAAATATTAAAAATAAATTATTGTACTTCTTATTATTTGAATTAAGTCAAAATTATTAATTAAAGTTTCATTAATCTTTTTAAAATTGTATTTAAGATTAAAAATTATAGATATAAGATGCAACGAAAATACATTATCTTAATTGAAACGGACCAAATAATAATAATAATAACATCATTTGTACGGACAAAAGGAGTAGCAAGGGATGACCTAGTAGTGTAGAGTTGGACTTGTGACCATGAGATCATATAATTTTATACTATAATTTTATGTAAATAAATATAAATTTTAATATATTTATAATGTGTAATAAAATTACATGCTTTTTTAATACTTTATATTTAGACATACAAAATTAACACATTGTATATCTTAATAGTCGAGATGGAGGGATTTTTGATTTTGATTTCTTAATTTATACTTTACAATTAAACTATTAATTAAATATGATATTTCAATATATATTTAGTAATGTGTCAATTAAATTTTTTTTATTAATCTCGTAAATAATATTCTACAATTCAAAACATATTTAGAATGATACCATTTACTAGTTTTTCTAAAAACAGCAAACATATATAATAAAAATATTTTTGTCTTTACACTTGACAAAACAACTTTTACACAAAATATTATTAATCTTTAAATTCTATGTAAAAAAAAAAAAAAGTTATATTAACATAAATCAACTTATTTTGGTGAGTCTCAATATAATACATTGATTATTATATTGATCAATTAATCACATCTGATTGAATATGATTATGTTAATTAACATAAATAAACTTATTTTACTGTGTTCATTATATATATATATATCTACACATACATGTGATTAGGGTGCTAAGTATTTTTGCTTTTTTTTTTTTTTTTTTTCAATGTGTAGTACGTTTTGATATAATAATTAATATTCAAAAATCAATACGCAAAAAAAAGTAAATGAGATCCATATATAATTATATAATCCACTGTTAAATACATACTACATATTGTTTTCTTCTTTATTAACACGTGTTGATTCTTTATCAACATAAATAGTAACCAAACATATATATATATATATAAACTAAATCTTCTAATTTATTTTAGATAAATTACGAGAAATATTACTTTCAGTTAGATATTACTTTCAATTAAATCTATATATTAGTTTATGTTTTGATATGATTTTTTAAGTGATATGATTTCTTTAAGTGATATAATTTTGGTATATATATATATTTACCATGTCGTTCTTACTTTTTTATTTGTGATAAATTTTGTTGTAGCATAAAATCCATCAATAGTAGCGGACAGATTCCGAAGAATTTCAATCTATCAAATAAAATCAATATAAGGCCAATTCAACATGAATTTGTTAGCGTCAAACTCCATCCAAGTACGCCCGATCTTTGCAGATGGAATGATCAATGTTTGTTACCGCAATAAAAGTCTCTCCGGTAAGCTTGTTTTGAAAAAGTGAGGAACATTTTCGGTAGGTCGGGCGATATATAATTGGAGTGGATCAAGACAAGTGTATGTCCGATTAATTGGGATGATCGAGTTTGAAAGATACCGTCAATATCTCTGTCCCAAAGATGATTGGCAAGAAGGTTGGATGCAATTTAATAAAATGACAGAAAAAAATGCAAACTTAATGATGAAGCCGGCCGAACCAATAATATATTATCTTCGTTCTATAACAAATTATCCATTTTTTTATTTTAGTCCGTTTCATAACAAAATATCTATTTTTTTTTAGTAACTGTACTATCTACATAACATTACAAATATCCTTACAACTTACAATATATTACACAAATGCCATTACATTTATATCATACAATACTAATAAAGTTGTTTTAGTAATTTCTACTTTATTTTTACTATCCCAATATAATACTAATATTTCTAAAACTTCGAGAAAAAACAAACGGGTACATAGTTATGAGACGAAAGGAGTATAAGGTTTGGCGATTGGAATGACGAATAAAGTGAGGTTAATAAAGTTAAAAATTGATGGAGTTAGTGACCATTAACAAGATCCTAAAAATAACAGATGTTACAAAAAATAAAAATAGATCATAAATGAATAAATCAAATCAGAAAAGAATATATATGTTGTGAAATGTGCTATCCTTTGGTCAAATCAATATCATTCGGATTTAACCAAATCAGCACGGAAATTGAAATATTCCATTTTACTATTTTGTCCTATTTTTGTTGGTTCCGAACCAATGTTCTCATAATCATAAATAATCACCATCACAAAACTACATCTAATTTATTACTTTAATTATTATTACTACACAAATATCATTACTTTTAATATTTAAATTAAAACACATATTTTCAAAGACAATAAAAAGACTTTTAAGCAACATTTTGTACGGCTACTAATATAATATTAATATTTTTTGAATCTCATGTCTTAAAAATATGTCCATATTGATTTGAGATGGAGAGGAAATATACTCCTTACTCTTTTAGTCTGCCTAGGGTCATATTTACCTTCTGTCTTATTGTACTTAATATTAAAAATATTATTATATTTGTATACATATATATATATCAAATGTCATTCTATTAGTACCATAAGATACTAATAAAAATATTTTGCAATTTTTTTTTTTAATTTGTACTACATTTTGATATAATAATTAATATTCAAATATCAGCATGCAAACTTAGAGCTTTAAACTTAAACTAGAAATTATAATATCTTCCAGGAATATAATAATAAACGGGTCAACACGAACCCGACACGATAATAAACGAGTCGGATTAAAATTGAGTAATTTAACCCATTTAAAGTATTCAATCTGACACGAATCGACTCCTTGCCGGCTCTAATCTTCCTAGAAAAATAAAAATGACAGCCTCATTATAAATAAAAGGTAATTTCAATCCAAGTGGATCCAAGAAAGGCAGTGTGCATCATATGTATATGTGAATGTTATGGTGAACTAAAAAGAAGAGAGAGAAAGAGGGAGAGAGAGAGAGAGAGTGTAAAATACAAAAGTACTAGTAGTAGAAAAGCAAAGCAAAGAAAAGAAAAGAAAGGAAAAGATTGATGAGCAGGTTCAATTCTTATTCTCCCCCAAAGACTTGTAAGTTCATTATTGTAGTCTTTTTTGCAGTTTGTGGGCACAGTGGGATGTGAGTATCAAATGTTCACACAAACAGACCACATATAACTTATCATTTCTGATGATGGGAAGCAACTCCGCTCACCTCACTCAACAAACCCCCCCCCCCCACACACACATGTATATATATATATATATATATCAGAATAACTCAGATGTAACCAACACTCCCACCACAACTTTATAAGAATATATATCTCTATAGTATATAATATATGGTAACACAAAAACAAACAATAATAATTCCCCTCTCTCTCTCTCTCTCTAATATATTCCTTTATGCATAAGAGAATCTCTCTCCCTCTCAATGAACTAACATATATAATGCAAACTAGGTTTGTTCGGTTAGGGGTTTGGATTTTAGATTTGAATTTTGAATGGTAAAAAATTGAATTTTGAATAGTTGTATAATATGATATAAACGGCTGTTGATTTGATGTTATTGGGTGCAAACTTAAGTCCCACAATGGAAGATTTGAAAAAAAAATCTACACGTAAGTCCCTCTACATAAATTCTACTTCACTAGTATGAAGTCTTTTGGAGGAAGTATAAAAATAAATCCGTACGGACTCAGCATCATACTAGTGTTGAGTTGACTCAGTTTCAATGAATATTTTAAATGTTTAAAAAACAAATCCGTGCGGGCTCAACCTAAAGCGGACAATATTGTTTTGGTCCAGTCTGACAATATCATATTAGTGTTGAGTTGATCCAGTCCCAATAAATATTTTAACTGTTCCAAAAATAAATTTGTGCCCCAAACTGACAATATCATACTTAATGTTGAGTTAGTCCAGTTCCAATAGATATTTTAACTCTAAAATTGATTTTCAATATAATATAAAAAAAAAACAAAAAAAAATGTTGAGTTAGTCCAGTTCCAATAGATATTTTAACTCTAAAATTGATTTTCAATATAATATAAAAAAAAACAAAAAAAAAATGTTAAGTTACCCCAGTTCCAATAGATATTTTAACTATAAATTGATTTTCAATGTAATATATATATTAAAAAGAAAAACAAAATAAGAGAAAACAATGCATATTTTAAAACTATCCTGCCCTCTTGTTCATCATGCAACACTACCACCACAGAAATGGATGTTAAAAATTGATTTGAAAACAGTGTATTTTTATTAAAAGCTGTATTAAACGAATAATATTGATTTTGATTTCACACTAAATAATTTTAATTTTGATTTGAAAAATTAAAAAAACCAACGGACAATTTTAAGGAAAAAAAAATTTAAATTAAAAATACAAAGCAAATCCTAATCATTATTTAACCTTAAAACCACGTGGCATTTCAACAAACATCCAAACAAACTCTCATCATATGCCTCTAGGAGCATCCAAAATAATGAAGGTCCCTCACCTAGCTTCTTTCCAACACATGAGGACCATTCTACTCTACTCTACATTTATATATTCTTACTGTTATATACCTAGAGGCGACAATGGGTCGACTCGTGTCTGGTTGAATATTTTTAACGAATTAAATTACTCAATCCTAACTCGACCTGTTTATTATCGTGTCGGATTCGTGTCGACCCGTATACATAATCGGATTGAAATTTTTTACCCAAATTCAATTATTTCGTATTAGATCTTGTCGGATCAATTATATACCACGCTTCGTTCTATAAATATTATTTAAAATTTTTGATACTATTAATCAACAATAAATTTTTTAATAAAAAAAATCACATCAAATACTTAACTTTTTACTACTTTGAAAAATTTCAGAAACTACAAAAATCTTTATCTAAACAAGCTACTTTTTCAAAACAGAGAAATGTAATAATGCTTACTTTCTGGGACCATGGAGCTAGTAAATGAATTCACAACAAGCAGCCAAACATAAGAATAGTATATGACAGTAGGAAGAACAGAAGATCAAACCTGTTCCTTAAGAGCAATAGAGCCGTGCATTAGATTTTTTTGGGGCGGTAGAGGTCGACATGATCTCAACAAGCTAAGACTTTTATCTGCAAACGGTGCAAGAAAAAGTGAAAGAGCAATCATTGTACGGATGTTGCGGATTGACAGCTGTGAATTCTTGGAATGATGGTGGTAACAAACAAGTACTCAAGTGCAGTGTGATAAATAAACAGACAGAAAGACACAGACAAATCTAGATCAAGATGATGATGATGATGGTTGGGTACACTTGAATATCAACTTGATGATATAGTTAATTGATAATTGACATTATAAACTTGGGTGCAAAAAGGGGAAATTCCCTATCTCCAGGGTGACTCAATCAACAATTCATGAGTATTTTATGAGTGAAAGAATCCAGACAGGAGCCTACGAGGACCCCATTCAACATCAATTGTACCACCTACTTCACATAATAAATACATTTTAACTTATAATATATTACACAATACTTATATAGGGGTATTTTTGTTTCTTTATTACAATCTAATATAATATTAATATTAAAAAATTTAAGTACAAAAAGTAAACAACAACCTTTTAATGGGAGTATTATTATTATTATTATTTTTTATTTTAACTATTTTTCCATTTTTTAAAGTACTCATATTATAATTTACTATTTATCTCTCTTTAATACACAAATACCTTTGTATAAATTTAAATTCTCAAGTTTTATAAAGCAAATTCATATTAATTATGTATAAATATATATGCTTTTTATTATTTATTTTTTACAAATAATATTTATAATTTATTAAAAAATATACTATTATTTAGAATATTCTAAGTCTATTTTAAATTTATTATCAAAATATATTATACTACAGCTTAATTTACAACAAAACGTCTCATTACTTAAGAGTAAAATCCAACTTTCAACCAAACGCATTCTCAAATGTAAGAGGCTCTTGTTCTAAAAGCGTGAGTTCTACATGAATAGTCAAATATACAGCCAGTCTTGCAAGAATCAACAATTCTACATCGCTTTTCCACTCTATTTTACTATAAGAAAAAATATTGATAGAGAGAACAAAAATTGCATAAATATTCCTACATTTTCTTTAAAAATAAACTTCTTAAAAATTAAAATAAAATAATCCAATTTTTTCATGTGATTCTCAATTCCCAGTAAAAAACAGAAAATTCTAGCAACATGGCAACAGAGTATTTAGCAGTATCATGGCCAAATAATTACAAGGGAGGCGGAAATTTCGCAATTACCCGAGACAGCTATATTTAAATTAAAAACTTGAACTCCATGTTAGCTGGAGAACTAAAAGGCATACCTATGTTGTTCAAACTACATGTGAGAATGATAGTGAATAAGGTTGATATCGACAGTACGTGTGCATGTGACCTAATCTTAAGACAAGAACACTAATTATTGATATTAACTCCTCCCAAGTGGGATCTCATTTAATTATGGGACTATATCAAATGTAGATTCTTCAATGAAAGTAATTGCCTTTGTGTCCTCCCAATTGTGGCCCTCAAGGATCCAAATCACAAAAATTCCTCACATTTGACAAAGTTCACTGCCTTACTGTCATGACCCCATGGACCTTATTTTTGGGGGGTTCCTAGGACCTCAACTCCAGGGAAAATCCAACAAACATCCCCCCCCCCCCCCCAACCCCAATCCATGTAGGCTATAAATAAGCAGGATTTTCCTTCACTTGTTCACCACACTCACCTAATCTTCACTACACTCAATTGGCATTTCATTCTGTTGAATATTTTAGTGCCAATTGAGTTGAGTGTAAGAAAATGGCTTCTAGCTCCATGACCCATGCTTCAACAAGGTCTTGGTCAGCCAAGGAGAACAAAGCCTTTGAGAAGGCGCTGGCAGTGTTCGATAAGGACACGCCAGACCGTTGGATGAAAGTGGCCAGAGCCATCGGGGGGCGAACCCCGGAGGAGGTCAAGAGACACTATGAGATCCTCGTGGAGGATATCATGTGTATCGAGAGTGGCAGGGTACCATTTCCTAACTACATTACCACCGGAGCTAACGGTGGCGTGAATTAAGGTTAGCTTATATCCTTCAATAGTCAGCATGCTCATCATATCATTCGAAAATCTTACATATTGTTTCAATGTCAGAACAGATAGTAACTTCTAATTACTTCGGGTAAAAATCAATGATGCACTATACCAATCATGCATGCATAAACAAATGAGATGAAATCACTATTAAACTTGTGAACCAAAAGTAGCGCCTTAGGTATCATTCCAAAATGGATAAATCAATCAAAGAACGTATGATTAAGCGCCAAGTTAACGCGTCTAATGGCATACGTGTTGATAGACAAGAAAGCAAGTAGGGTCTATTTGTGCATGCAAGTACATAACACTATCTTTCAATCCTTTGAATAACAAACTAACCAAACAGCAGGTATTACCTGTGGAGGTAAAATCAAATGTGGATTTATTTGCCACCACAAAAGGCAGTTTCCTGAGGAGGCTATAATTAATACACGTAGTTATCAAAGTGCCCACAAAATGATAAGCCTAAATCTTCTCATTGTTGGACCCTATTGCTTTTTGAAGTACTAGTGTTTGTTTATCACTTTTAATGTATACTAACTAGTTCATTTTGCACCTGTTCTAGAACCTCCATGCAGAATAGCTTTTGCATGAATATTTTGGATTATTGATATTTATCATTTCTCCATGCAGGGTGATAGATCCCAACTTATGAAGAAATAAAGAGATGGTTTTCGATCATCGACTTGAAGTATTATTATTAGTATCTAGATTCTAGCATATATAGAGCCTTTTCTTCCTGATGAGTGGACTGAAGTGGTCCATCTACAAAACTTCTTATATTTCATGCCATAAATTATTGGGGACCAGTTTAATTCCTTTCAATATATGTATACCTATTTATGAAATGAAAGCTAGCTTTCAGATCTATGTATTCTCCAGATACCGCTCACCTATATATCCACAGCATTAGCAAAACAGGAGAGATTGTGTATGGAATTGACAAGAAACTGAATCAGACACGGTAAACAATAAGGGGTTAGATAAATAGATTAAAATCTATACACACTCATTTTATTACTGTGGGCTATTCAAGAGGGGCGAGATAAATAAACATCTGGTAACACCAAGAAATATACATCCTGTGATGCAAATTTTGTAGAATAAAATTTATATAGTTATCTACTTAAGGCAACTCTAGCTAAGTTGAATCAACCCACAGTACTAGATGAAAGTGAGATATTTACATGCATAATACACATGATACAAAGGGATGGAAAAAAGAGCAGGATGTGTACTCAATTTCCATGGAAGCCTTATTAAAATAAATACTAATATGCTTGTGAACCCATGCTATTAAACAAGGAGTGTAACTGTTCTGGAGCAAGTATTTAATTAGAGAAATTGTAAATTATTAATAATTACAGGAATATTTTCTGATCTACAGGGCTATTCTCCTTATCCCAAGCCAAAAAACCAAAATGACAAATTATCTTCTGATGATCATTAATTACAATCTGAGTAAAGATTCCCAACCTAAAGAACTTCTACTAAACATGAAATCAAATTCTAAAAGACTTCTACGAAATATAAGAATCTAACTTTAAGGACTCCTACAAGACTTACAATATAATAAATCATTTATTTATTCATCTTATCAACTTACTTTGTTTTACAAAACAACAAAATGAACCTTAACACTTGTGATTAGCGATTACCCCTAATAATACAACACAACAGGTATACTATGCTACAAATGCAAAATAGTGAAATACTGATGTGACAAATGGATTACGCTTTGATGTTATATACCATTATATTCTGGTCCTCCATTGTGGATGCTATTCTTAATTTCAGCTATTCCAGTTAATCAATCTTCCTAAATTATATCTATCATGCTTCTTACATATTATTTCAATTTGAGCAATTTTCCACAAAAATAACGCTCATAACAATCAAATAAGACTTTATTCCTAAGTTTTTGCATATCCCATACACTAATATTTAGATCTATTCCCATATATAAGTGAAATTAATGGTCTAATGCCAACAAGGTTGGATGCATTAAAATGATCACCCAGGTTATGCTTGAGTGTAAAAGTAACTTCCGGTTGAGCGTAATAGTATGCAAACTATTGTAGCACGGTAAAACAACTAACCTAACCCTGCGTGGCAAACAAGACCAAGAAGGCGTTGGCAGGTTTTGAACCTATGACTTCGTGGTCACAAATTCACCCTCTATACCGACTTGGCCTCCCCTTATGGATCGTGTTCTTTTATTATTATCATTTACTGAAGTTAGTTTCTGAATATATATATATATATATTCAATCAAAATAACCTTTCTAAAGCGATGAGATATACAACAACAATATTGAGAACTCGAGTTTTAGATGTGTATGGATCATACAGCTTAAAGAGCCAAACCTGAGCTGTTTTCTCCAACCTAGAAATTAAGAATTGAAAGTACACATCAACATCACACATTATCTACACATCACATTTTTCATCAAATCCACCTCCGAAGATGTCTTAGATAAAATTGCAGATCAGGGCATATCAACTTATAAAATTATGAAGTTTCACCTGAAGAAGCACATACCCACTAGAGATTACCCACACAAATATCATCAATAGACTTTGTGCTTTGTGAATATAGTATGGTCAATGGTGGGCTTTTGGAATTAACATTCCCTAGCATTACTACTTGTACAAACAAGTTTAGCATCTCAAACCACATCAAGAAGCCCATTTGGCCACTCATTAGATTGATTTTCAATTCCGCATATTAACCACTCCAGAAAAGAACCAAAAGTTATCCATTTGGCAGTACAAGGCATTGAATTTTGTAAGCTAAAAAGGATCTCACACATCAAATTAAGGTAAAGGTGGGAGGGATGATTGGTGGTGGTTTAAGTTTCTAGACAATAACTTAATGTAATCAACGTACCTTTGAGGGTGATGCTGATGGCCCAACCACAAAGTAAATAGGATGGTCCACCAGCTGTTATGCAGATTCATTGAATCCTGCACTTGGAAGAATTTATAAACAGGGATATTAAAGATCTTATACTCCAGCAGCTCTGTGTGCATTATCATCTGGCTCTAGTTTATTGACAACTTATCCTCAATAAATAGTGGATATTCACTACCAATTTCAGCTATTTAACCACCCATTCTTTTCTGCGGACCATTTCTTGAAAAGCCAAAACAGCAGCATAGAGTATGTAAACCAGAAAGACTCTAAAATCTTATCTCACTGTATACTTTGACAAAAAGTCATGCATGTTATGAAGATTTTCTTTTAGATTCAACCTAATTGAGTATCAACAGGAGAAACTGCAATGTTTCAACTGATATCCCAACTTGTATATGGTTCCGGAAAGGCTAAAGTCATAAACACTAACCATATGATTACAGCCACTGCAAAGACAGCCTTAATTAACAAGGGACTGGGTCTATGTATAGACACGTGGTGAGTGGAGGCTTAATCTTCACTGGGGCTGAGGATCCTATCACAATTAACACGATAAAAGTGGGGGAATAAGAACTTGATTGGACTGTCCAGAAATGCAAAGGCAAGTAGAAATACAAGACTCCATCCCTAACAAAATGAAAATAATATTTTCAGGTTGATTATTTATAATTTATAGAAGTTCAGTTTATTCGATGATCAGACTTCAAGATTACAGCGCTACAGAGTATCACTATGAAACTTCAAGATTACAGCGCTACAGAGTATCACTATGAAATAAAACATTTACATACAATCATCCAGGTCTATGTGAGCAAAATAGATGCTCAAATAGCAGACAGTAAAACAGAAAAAAAATGCTAACACCAAATTAGATTTGGGGCAGCACCTTAATCAGCAACTGTTGTTCGAAGTGGCAGAGCACTTTCCACTTCTTTAATCTCAGAATGTCTTTCTGCAACTACTTTTGACATTCCAAACATCTGTAAATGTATCAACACCAAGCGTAAGGAATTCTATGATAAACACAGGAAGCACATCCTATTGTAGTGAAAATTAAAATGCCTGAATGGAACCTTCTTGATAGTCTTCTGAAAGCAAGTTTTGTGTTCATCCATAGAAGCATGAATAAATTCGTCAATGTGATCCTTCAAATCTTCCATGAAAGTAGCTTCCTCACTTTTCTTTTTCCGACATGATGTTGTGACTGGGTTTGCTGCTCCAGATGATGGTATCTTCTCGTTTAGACTAGTTTGATTTGACATTGCTAAATAGCACCCAGTTTGGTGTTCAATGTTAAGATGACAGCACAGTAAAGTTGCTCAAACCTGAAATTTCAGAAAATCAGGAAGAATGTGATAGGGCAAACTAAGAACTTAATGACGAATAAAAAAATGCAACAATGTGGCAACTAGGCCAAAGATAAACAGTTGGTCAGTCAAATATCTTCATCATTGATGAAATTGAAACCAGCTTAAGAGTAAACCTCCGACCGAACCTAATACCCTGCAAACCAGGTCCGACGGGCAAGTCACACTAAGCAAACCATGTGTGGCAGGTGACATGAAACATCGGAGTTTGAACCATGACCTCACGGTCACAGCTCCAACCTCTACACCACCAGGCCGTCCCTTACGGGACTTGAGGCATCTATTGTTTTTCGCTACTGAGCTAGTGAACTCTCAAATAAAGTACAATTCAGATCATATAGGATAATTTCACCAGGTAGAAGAGAGGAGAATTACAAGAGAGAAGCAAAACCAGATGTTCGATGCTGAAAACCAGACTCCATTAACACATACCAATGGTTGATTATAAGATAAATTAAGCTTATTGGGTTTAACATTATAGGTGATGGAGCAGACAAACACAAATCAATAGCGCTCAGTGAACCATGTAAACATGATATTTAAGGCACATTAAGACATTATCACGTGCACTCTTGAACTCCAATAGACTATTCTGCCAAATGAGAGCAAAATAACTACAGAACTATTCAGCATATTGGATTCTATATAAGTATAAAAACAATAGTGAATTAGTGATCATATATGTACCCTATTATCAGCAAATTCTTAAATAATTTCCTTGAATGCAATTTACAACCTCCAATAAACTACAAAGAACGTACACTCAATACTCTTAAGGATTAATACAACTGAATTAGATATGAAAAAGTAAAAAGAACCGTATATATCCCACTTCTTCCCCGATTAAATCATGTACGTAATTCCTAAAATTTCCGCCACTCCAGAAAACCCCAAAATTAGACAAAATTCAGAATCAAACAACTCTTCCAACCAAGATGAACAGTCACAATTAAGACATCGTCACGTAAAAAAGAAAAGGTAAAAGGAACTGCAGAATCTCTCACATCTCCAATTAAAAGCATGGAACTCCGTCCCAAATTGTTCAGAAAACGACAAAATCAGGATCAAACTACTCTTTCAACCAAGCTGCAACAGTTACAGAAAAGAAGAAAGACAACAAAACCAAAAAGACCCCCTCCAATTAATAAATCAACACGCCCATTTCCCTTGGCTCAATCAAACCATAATTCAGATGCGCTTACCAATGATGCTAAACTAGATAACAAATCCTCCTCACCTGATCGAACCGAGTCCAAGGAGCAGAGCAATCAAGAGTGAATGGGCAGAGAGAAGAGAAGCCGATGAAGTCGTGGAAAAAAATCCTGCCTTTAGCTTGGAGAACAAGAACAAGTCTAACGGGCCATTTTCGTAATTGGGCCTTACATAATGGGCCTTTGCTTTATGAAACCAATATTTGGCCCAATTATTTGTTTATTTCAAAAATTGAAATGTACAGTTTTCTTGGGGGAAACGACACCGTTTGTGATTAGTCTGGTGGATTATTGGTGAGGACGTAAAGACTTTCCTAATTAGGAAATAAATAGTAGTGCAGTAGATACAGATTCAACAGTTTCATAAACTAACGCTATCTGTATATTAAATAATTACTAATCAATACTTAATATACTATGGGCTTGTTGATTTTGATTTCAAATACAAATTTGGAGATAAACGGTAGATACACATTCAACAGTTTCATAAACAGACGACTATCTGGATATTATGAGTGTGTTTCTTTAGGGGATTTGGGAAAAATTTGGGTTTGAGTTTGGTTTTTATTTGAATTTTGGGATAAGTTTGAATTTTGTTGTTTTTTTTTTCATGTTTGGGTTTGGTTGGGGTTTGGTTGGAGTTTGGGGAGTTTTGATGTGTATGGATCTAAATAAAATAATATAAATGTGTATTAAATTAAATTTATATTATATAATTTGATTATGAATTCATATTATATCCAACATATATATATTTAAATTTTTATTTGTATCGTAGAATTTTATTCTCTACAAAATGACATATATATTGTATATATATATTTTTCCCTATAATTATAATAAATATTAAATTGGATTTTAATTTTTTTTAAAAAAGAAAAAAAAAGTTAAAAAAAAATTAATGGTTAAAGCCTGACAATAGGGAATCTCTCCGGACCCTATACCGTAGGCTTGTTGGATCGTCTCCATAGACGGGGTTTTGCGCCCAAAACCAGACCTACAATGAATCTACAGTGGAATTGCCCCAAATCGCGTTGAAGAAACATACCATAAATAATTGGTAATCAATATACTTATATATTACAGATTTATTTCATTTTAATTTCAAACATAAATCAAGATAAGTGTCAATATAAATAAATTATTTTCACTTAAAAAATATTACAATACAACAAACACACACCAAGGTCTGTTTAATTATATAGTGCAAAATCAAACTTTGTTAAAAATATTATAGTGTAATATCAAATTTTTTATTCAAAACAATTATATTTGTTATTCCCAAATTAACCCTTATGTCAAGTAAACCCAACATTCAACATGATCACAAAAAAATTTCGGGCAACAGATTGAACAAATATTGTGCAACTCAATGATTTACACAATGCAAATATTCCAAATAAACCTCCAATGGCTAATTCTAAGACAACTTTATTGGTGACGAAACTCATTTAGACATACTTTTTTAGTGGGATCAATTTTTCTAATGATGAAATTATTCATTCATTCAAATAGACATACGTTTCAATCAGATGGTTTTTTTTTTTAAAAAATGAAATCATTCACTCATTCAGGCATACTTTTTAATCAGATAATGTTTTTATTAAATATTGAAATTATTCACTCATTCAGGCATACTTTCCAATGAGATGATTTTTTTTTTTTTTTATGATGAAACTATTCACTCATTCAGACATACTCTCCAATCAGATGAACTTTTTTTGTGATGAAATTATTCACTCATTAAGACATACTTTCTAATCAGATGAATATTTTTTATGATGAAATTATTCACTCACTTCAATTATATGATTTTTTTTTAACGATGAAATCTTTCACTCTTTCAAACACACTCTCAATCAAATGATTTTTTTTTTTATTTTTTTATGATGAAATTATTCACTCTTTCAAACATACTTTCTAATCATATGATTTTTTTTTATTTTTTTTTATGATAAAATTATTCACTCATTCAGACATAATCTCCAATCAGATGATTTTTTTTTTTTTTTATATGATGAAATTATTCACTCACTTCAATTATATGATTTTTTTTAATGATGAAATTATTCGCTCTTTCAAACATACTCTTAATCAGATGATTTTTTTTTTTTTTTTATAATAAAATTATTCACTCATTCATACATACTCTCCAATCAGATGATTTTTTTTTATTATTATTCACTCATTCAGACATACTCTCCAATCAGATAAAATTTTTTCTTAACGATGAAATCATTCACTCATTCAGACATACTCTCTAATCAGATGAATTTTTTTCTTTTTTATGATGAAACTATTAACTTATTCAGACATACTCTCCAATAAGATGAACTTTTTTCTTTTTAATGATGAAATCCTTCACTCATTCGGACATACTCTCCAATCAGATGAGTTTTTTTTTGTGATGAAATCATTCACTCATTTAGACATACTTTCCCATCATATGGATTTTATTGATGATGAAATCATTCACTCATTCAGATGTATTCTTCAATCAGAGATTTTTTTTTTTAAATGAGCTTTTTTTAAAAAAAATGATGAAATTATTCACTCATTCAAATATACTCTCTAATTTTGGTGATAAAATTATTCACTCATTCATATACATTCATCAATCAAATGAATTTTCTTGACAGTAAAATCATTCACTTATTGAGACATATTTTCCAATTAAATGATTTTTTCCGGTGAATTTTCTTGGTGGTAAAATCATTTACAAAAAGAAAAAAAAAAGAAAAAAAAAAAGAAAAAACAAATCCACACATACACATTCCTAAATTATATGTATTGTGGATTTGGTAGATATTGCAAGTTAAATAACTTATTAAAAATTTAAATACAATTACTTTAGATTAGTGGTTATATAAGATGTTTATAGAAAAAATTAAAAAAAAAAATAAAAGCATTTTTATAAAAAAAAAAATAAAAGCAAAGAAAATATGGATAAATTTGAATGACAATTAAAAAATAAAATATGAACAAATTTGAATAATGGGAGTATTATTTTTGTGGCTCACAAAATAAAAATAATTAAATGTTTAACTACTTGTATTTATTTTAGAAGCAAAACCTTAAAAATAACACTAAAAAAGATCATTAATATATATATATATATTTTTGAGATATCCTTATCCTTATTGTTTTTTTTTTTTTAATTTCCTATCCCTGGTAATATTTTACTTTTTGTGTTCGCTGGATAATAAAATACTATATTTCAATGATAATTATCCATACATTTTAATCTTTTAATCAAATATTATACTACTTATATCATATTTGGTTAACATAATAATCAGGACATGAAATATAGATCCTATTAGAATATACAATTAATTGCGGCCTATATCCGATCATAAACAACATCTCATTCCAAACCTTAAAATCGAACTTCCAATCACAATTTAAAACGATAAACAAAGAGGCCCTAATCCATGCACATTGTAACATGTTCCTACAAGATCTCGACTCTTCTTCTATAGTGTTATAAGTTAAGGTATATATTGTGTAAGGGCAAGACAACTAACACAGTTGTATCTACCTCTACCCACCCACCCACCCGCCCAACCCCTCAATTTCGATCCCACACCCATCATATACATCTATTTTATCTACCTACCTCTTTTATACCATCTTTATACGTTATTACATTAAATTAAATGCTTCTTTCTCTAACACTCTTAGTTCCACATATTTTTACACTTTTTCTAATGTATTTGCTCTACGTATCTGTTTTAATTATGAATTCACAGATCTATAATCAACACTCTCTATATATGTGTGTGTGTATGGACGTTTCTACGTAAAGCATAGAAATTTAATTAACTCAGTATAATAAAGACTGACCTGTGCTGTCCTGTATTGCATAATAATGACAGCAACCGCCGGAGCTCCACGGCGGGGGTTCCTGCAAAATTGTGTGGTGGAGGAGTTCTTGAAGCTATGCGTGTTATCTTTAATGGCTTTTGTATTGATGTTGTTAGTGTATAGTACCAAGTATTATGGAGAATTTGAGATTTTGTACCGTTTTCTGGAAGTTAATCTCCCCGGAGTTGCGGTTGGCGCCACCGCCGGCGCGGCGGTGGTCGGATTGATTGTGTGCATTGTGGCGCGACCTAGGGCGGTTTATCTCGTCGACTATGCGTGCTATCGGCCGCCGGATGAGCTCCAGGTGAAGTTCGGGAAGTTCATGGAGCACTCGCGGTTGTTTGGGGATTTCGACGATTCGTCGCTGGAATTTCAGCGGAAGATTCTCGAACGTTCTGGAATCGGAGAGGAGACCTACTTGCCTGAAGCGCTGCATCGGCTGCCGCCGAATCCGTCGATGACGGCGGCGCGTGAGGAGGCAGAGCAGGTGATGTTCGGCGTGGTGGATAGTCTATTCGCGGCGACCAGCGTCAAGCCGGAGGAGATCGGAATACTCGTGGTGAACTGCAGCCTTTTCAATCCAGTTCCGTCGCTTTCCGCCATGATTGTGAACAGATACAAGCTCCGACAGAGTGTGAGGAGCTTCAATTTAGGAGGCATGGGATGCAGCGCCGGAGTAATCGCCGTCGATTTGGCAAAGGACATGCTCCGAATCCACCGGAAAACCTACGCCATTGTTGTGAGCACCGAAAACATCACTCAGAATTGGTACTTCGGGAACCAGAAATCGAAGCTAATCCCTAACTGCCTTTTCCGCATGGGAGGATCCGCAATTCTACTCTCGAATCGGAGCTCCGACAAGCGGAGATCCAAATACCAGATCCAACACGTGATCCGAACCCACATTGGATCCGAACCCGACGCATACCGCTGCGTGTACCAGGACGAAGACCAAAGAGGCAAAATCGGAGTTTCTCTGTCAAAGGATCTAATGGCGGTCGCCGGCGCCGCCTTGAAAGCCAACATCACGGCGCTCGGACCGCTCGTCCTCCCCGCCGGCGAGCAGTTCCGGTTCTTATTAACCCTAATTGCACGGAAATTGGTAAATCCCCAAATTAAACCCTACGTACCTGATTTCAAGCTCGCCTTCCACCATTTCTGTATCCACGCCGGCGGAAGAGCAGTAATCGACGAGGTGGAGAGGAATCTCCGGCTGGATCCAATCGACGTCGAAGCTTCGCGCATGACGCTTCACCGATTCGGAAACACTTCGTCTAGCTCGATTTGGTACGAGCTCGCGTACATTGAGGCGAAAGGGAGAATGAAGAAGGGGCAACGAGTGTGGCAGATCGCGTTCGGGAGCGGATTCAAGTGCAACAGCGCCGTGTGGGAGGCGCTGCGCAATGTCCGGCCGCCGCCGCCGGCGGTGGCGGTGGCGGGGAGCCCCTGGCTGGATTGCATTGACAGGTATCCGGTAGAGATAGTTTCCTAAAATTTCAATATATTTTAAAATATATATGGCTGTGTGTGTATGTATAATGTGTGTATATATATATATGGTTTTGTGCATGCATGGGGTCTCCATATACGCAATGCATGTATGTGTGTACTCTCACTAAGGCTGTGTTTGTTTGCGTTTTGTATATATTTTTGACATTATTCATTCCATTTCCCTTTCCACCACGGAGATATGCATGTCCCTCAACAATATCTCTATTTTTTTTCACTTTCGTCCATCTTAAAACAGACATAAATTTTACTTACTTCATTTGCCAAAATTATAAATATAATTATTTTTTTATTATCCGATTTAATTTTTGTGCAATTTATTTATAATAAAAAAATTTATTCATTTATAATTTTATGGAGACTCTTATTTTAATAATAAAAAAAAATAATCAATTGATGTAAAGTCATGTATGTGTTTTTGTACTATGAAATGTCCGCATATTGACTCATAGTTATACACTATCCGTCATCTAATTGTGTGTTCATTTGACCATTTGACCATGCATGAGCTTTATAAAAAATAGATAAAAATGGAACTTTTTATTTTTTTATAGTAAAGAAAAAATTAAAAAGTTGGTATTTTCCTATTAAAAATAAAACGAGAATAAATTTAAATAAAAAAAAAACAAGAATAAATTTGAATGATAAAAAAAAATATAATTAGAGTGTCTATTGTTCAAAATGTAAGGCAACAACCAACTTACCAAACTTTATTATATAAATTTAATGTTCATTATGCTATATTGTTGTATTATCTATTTCTTTTTTTTCTTTTTTTTTCGTATGTATTCGATTTTAAAGATGAATCTATTCGAATATTATCATTGGATAATATATGGGATTTGAATTTTTTAATGTATTAATTTGAATGTTTTATTTAATTTTGAGTGATCGGGAAGTAGCCACAACATCCTTGATTGATAAAAATTATCTGTATATAAATTCGAAATCACATTATTCACATCAATTTCATTATATTTGATGCGATATAATATTTTTAATATAATACTCCATAAAAAAATAAAAATAATTGTTTTTTCAAAAAATATAATTAAAAATATTCCAAAATCTCCCTAAAAAAAATAATTATTCAGAAAGAGAAATGTGCGAGGAATTGAATCTGTTCGGTTGATTGGCCCAATTCCTAAAATGGATATGGATGGACCAATTACATGTGGTCATTTTATCGTTACGTCGGATTCCAATACTTGTCCTTTAATAATAATAATAATAACAATAATAATAATAATAATAATAATAATAATAATAATAATAATAAATGTTATTCTTAGAAAAAAGAATTATTTTAATTAACAGTGTATAAATCTAATAATAATATAAGTATGTTCACTTGTATCTTTCCCTAAATTTTACTGTACAATTTATAGTGAACTTTCTGTTCCTACAAAAAATCATCATTTTCAAATATAAAATTTTATTAAAAATTAATAAAAAAAAATCAAATAGATATAGCCTGTATTTATATTTATATATGTATATCTATTGTTTTTAATTCATAACGTTTCAAAACTGTTGAATTTATTTATAATTTATAGGTTCTTCTCTTTTTGAAATTTCTTAAAGATTCCAAATACAAAAAAAATAAAAAATAAAAAAAAAAATTGTAAAAATTATTAAAACTATACTACCTAACAAATCGAGCCAACACTAACTAAAGCAAAAATATTGGGATAGATGAAATATATAATACTTCTTCTGTTATTTCTATTTTGACATTTCCAAAATACAGTATTTACAATTTTTTGATTTACTTTATCAATACAATTTACCTATAAAATCATTACAAGTAACAAATAATACAAAATGCTACAAAATTTATCAAAATCATCTCACCTAAAAAAAAGACACCATATAAAAGAAATAACAAATAAACATAGGTATTTTCTTTCAACATTTTTTCAATACACTCTTACTAATATTATGAATATATATATATATATATACATTCATACAACATACTCCCTGATTTCTACCTTATCTATCTATCCGTTTATTTTTTCACCGAGTTTTAGGAATATTAATATTATATTGGGTTATGATACGAATAAAATAGAAAAAATTAAAATAATCTTATCAGTATTGTTTGATATAAAAATAATGATATTTGTATAATCTAAAGATATTTTTAATATAACTGATAGAATACTTCAAATCAAAGTTTTTCAATCCAAATCCAAAGGAATATAGCAGACCGTTTATAGTTCTAAGTATTCATTTTTAAGAGACATGCAGAACTGTAAAAGTGCTATGTTGAATAATATTTTGGTTAAATAAATAGAGCTTAATTTTTAAATTTTGTTTGTCACACATAATTCGCTTAAAATTTGTTCAGAATTTACCCAAAATGCATTAAAACAGTAACCACTTATTTCTATAGTCATAAAAATAAATAAATTAATAAATAATATATATATATATCTATATATATAGACAAGTTGGGATTATGATGAGATACGGATATAAGCATAATATTCGCGTTGAGTTCCTCAATTGTGGCTCCGCTTCAGACTTATCACTCAGATTCCCTCCCCATCCCAATTTGGGGATCTTTTTTTTTCCCCCCAAACCCTAATTCCCAAATCCAAACCCCGCCTATAAATACCGCTCCAGCTCCTCCCCAAATTCTTCCATCTCCTGCACCTGACTTGCCCTCCGATCCGATCCGATTCTCTGTAATCCGATCGATCACCGATCGTTAGCTAATCGGAGGGCGGCCATGGCATCGAGTTCGTTGCGCTCATCTCAATGGACGCCTCAGGAGAACAAGCTCTTCGAGAAAGCGCTCGCTCGCTTCGACACCGACTCGCCGGACCGCTGGCACAACGTCGCTAGAGCCGTCGGCGGCGGAAAGTCGCCGGACGAAGTTAAGAGGCACTACGAAATTCTTATCGAGGATCTCCGCCGCATTGAGTGCGGTCACATCCCTATCCCGACCTACCTGAACACCTCCTCCGTCCACGGTAACCTACCTATATATATATATATATTAATATATAATAATATTATTATTATTATTAATTAATTATATTAATGGAAAACTATGTGGTGTAATTTTTAGTTTTATTTTGTTCGAGTTGATTTTATAAATTGTATTGATATATAAATGTGAAATAGAAAGTTGCAGATATATATATTTTAAATTTTACATCTAAAAATAAAAGTAATAGCAGATAAGCTGAAATGAAAATAATATATTATAAGTCTTCTTCTTCTTTTTTTTTTTTTTTAATTGTATAAACTGTGATATATGTTTTTAGTTAGTACGAAAAATGATTATTTAATTTTTATACGTGCATTTTTATAAATGCATGCATGCATGCAATGAATGAGTGGTAAGGAGCTAATGATTGAGAGCTCCATGGAGTAGTGGTCCCGTGCAATGAACCAATTCAATAAAATTATATTTATTTTTTATTGTTTTTTTCAATTTAAAATTAATATATTGTAACTTTCGAATATAACTTGATCAAATATTATAAATAATTTTTTTTTATTAGAAATAATAAAAATACCAATCCAAAACATTAATGCATTTTTAATTGGATCCTTGCTCCCGGGAGCTCCCATACTGATCTCTATATTCTTCATTCCTTCACTTATTTATTTTTTTCCTAAAAGAATATAAAAATTGAGTGATAATTCAAACTGATTTGTACTTTTCAGATACGTATATCTTTTGATTTTGACACACACATATATGTGGATATATACACTGAAATATACCCATAAATATATATATATATATATATAAATGATAAGGTGATTTATTTTAGTTTATTTAATTTAACTAATTTATTTGAACTCGTTTGTTTGGTTTCAGGATTTTAAAGCTTATGAAGATGCGAGGGGTTGCTTCTAGAAGCATCTCAAAGATTCACATATATAATTAGAAATTAATTATCATGTATTAGTAGTTAATTAATACGAATGGTCTCCAATCCAAGCATATATTTATATTTATATTTATATTTATATAATTATACAAAAAAAATAAAATAAAAATGTGAGTGCTTGTAAGGCCTTTATCGATCTACCTTTCATATCTACTCTTATATCATTATTTATCCAATACAAATTCCTAATTTTATTACAATTAAGATCCATGGATGATATTTGTTGTTTATTACCTTATATTTTGTCATATCTACTAATTAAAAATATATTTAATCGTATTTATATCAATATTATTACATCAAATTAAAATAAATGGACAAAAAAATTGGTATACATAATTTGTATGTGACATGCATTCGAGCCGAGCTGAGACAATATTATTAATAAAATACATTCAACTTATATAGCTAAAATCCTAATAAACCAAAATATTGATCCGAACTTAATCAAAAAAATAGTATAAATAAATTTGGTTAGATTTTGTTAACATTAAAAATTAAAATTAGACCGAACAAAGCAAGTATCAAATGCATAATATTTGTATGAGTCAAACTCGTTAGTTTAACCTAAAATTCAGTTCAATTCGACTTTATACAATTCGATTTGATTTTGTTCTTTTTACCAATTTTCTTATACTATTCAAGCCCTATATATATATTCTTAATATGGTTATGGAATTGATTTAATTTTATTACTCCATCCATCCTTTAACAATCTATTCATTTTTCCATTTTGGTCCGTCCCATAACAAAGTATCCGCTTCCTTTTTTAGTAATTGTATTATCTACCTAACATTACAAATACCTTTCTAATTTACAATATATTACACAAATGTCATTACCTTTATATCATACAATACTAATAGAGTTAATTTAGTCTTTTTACATTTATTTCTACTATATCCCAATATAATACTAATATTTCTAAAACTACGTGCAAAAAGCACATGGATAAATAGATTGGGGACGGAGGGAATATTATTTTTTTAAGGTATTTTTTTATAATATGAGAATCCACAGCCGCTACTCGTGATTTTTCTTTTTATATATATAACGTGGAACCTACAATCGCTACAGAATCTAATAGCATGCAAATTAAGTCCGACAATGCAAGTCACCCACAATCGTTACAGAATCTAATAGCTTGCAAATTAGATCTGACAATGCAAGTCACACTAGTCGAACGATATGTTTATTTTAATCTGATATAGAATAGTAATAAGCAAAACTATTTTTATATATATATGCTCATAATGACTTATTGGCCCATTAATATTCAGAGGCCCAAAAAATAAAGCCCATAGTAGTTTATAAAAAGTCTCCATATAACGGTTTCCTTATTGTTTTTCTAACTATTTCTTCCGTCCATATTTAGGTTATTAATTTTTTTTAATATTAAAATTTTATATGTTTGTATAAAAAAATACTAATAGTCAAATTTATCTTTAGAAGAGTTAAATTACTTAAATAATTATGATGATATGTTTAAAATAATATGTAATTTGTACAAATTTTTTTTAAGTTACATAGAAAGTACAATTATTCAAAAATAAAATAAATTGATAGATTGGTTTTGGATAAAATAAAATACCAAAATGAATAAATTGATTTTGGACTAAATGAGTATTAATTTTTCTTTTAGAAACAATACACCATTTATTTTTATTTTTTTATTCAAAATTTTACCTCATACAATTTATTTTAATTCAATACATAAAATCTATTGAAAGTTTTGTAAACAGTAAAAACCAAAATTGACCATTTGACGTGGTGCATTTTGGGGGGAAAAAAATTACATTTGATTAATAATACCAAATATACCAAAAATGTCGATGTAAATATGGGAAAAAAAAACGAAAAAGAAAAAAGAAAAAAAAAACTCATATGTTAACACATAAAATTGATAGTAATAACATAAAAGTTGATTGCATATTAAGGATTTGTTTGGTTGTGTTTTGGAGTATTTCTAGTGTTACTGAAATGGAATAGTAAAAATTTTAAATTATAATAATGACCTAATATAATATAAATAATTATTTGATATGATATTTTATATTAAAAATTTTTAATGTAAAAAAAATAAATATATGATATGATATGTAAAAAAAAATATTTTAAATAAATAAATTAATATGAGAAAAAAAAATAGGAGAGCTACAAAAAATAAACGTTGAATTTATTTTTAAATTTTATTACTGATGGGAGAGTTAAGTTGCTAAGCATCATCTATTCATTAATTTTAATCCGTTGGATTAAAATTAATTCAACGATTATAATTTCAATTAGGACAAATTTTTCATTTGATAACTACGGTAAAAGATGGAATGAGTAAAGAGACGACGGTAAGAAGACATAAAGATAGCACAAAAGAAGATTTCAATGCGACAAATTTGAAGAACAACGGAAGGAAAATATGGGGAAAACAAAAAAAAATCGAAGAAGAATAGGAAAATGTAAGAAGATGAAGATGTTTATTACTATAATCTTTTTTTGTCTGTCAAATTTATTCTTTTTTTTAGTTAAATTTATCTTATTACTATATTTGAAAAAGTCAAAAAGTCAAAATTCAATTATTGTCATTCATTCAACACTTATTTATAGTAAATACCACTGATTTTATTATATTATCTATCTTCATTCTCTTTAATTACTAACTAAAATTTCAAAAATATCTCTAACTACCTATTAACTTTTTCTACTTTTTCAATAAAATATTAATTTTTCTTAATTACCGTGTCGAGTGCAAATAGACTAAATATTGCGGACGGATGGAGTATTATATAGTAATAAAAAAAAATAAATCAAAGCAAGCATAATCTACAAATTAATATATATATATATACACAATGGTTGTTTGGGTGGTTTCTTCATTTTGGGACAAATCTTTATGGTATGATATTGCTGCTTGTGTTATTACTAACAATTGGGGTTGGCTTTGGTTTTTCTCTATTATATTGTTTCACTTATATTCAATATTTTATTCTCAACTATTTATTAACATGATGTGTTTTTTCCCAATTGTGGTGCTATCAATTTAATTCGATTCAAACTGTTGTTGTTGCATAATAAATAAATTTAAATTAAATTTAAAAAGAATATATATGGTTTGTTTTATTTTGATTGGAATTTAAATAATACTTGAAGAAAATAGTATACTTTTTTTTCTTTTATTAAAAATCCGATTGAATGAAAATACCCATAGTTTAATGCATATTTAGTCCATGATTTTTTAGTTAAAAAAAAATTTGAATATAATATTTTATAAAATAAAATAATAGTATTATTGTTTTAAAAAAAATGGTAAAGATTAAAATTGTAGGAAAAATGAAAAAAATAAAAAAATAAAATAAAGAAGCATATTTTAGGGGATAATATAACAAGTATTTATGTAGGGTGGTTGAGGATAAGGCATATTAATATATGGAATTCAGTTGAATCTTGGAAATTGTCGAGTTAATAGGACTTATCTCACACACTGAATTCCATAAATACATATATTTAAAATAGTTACTAAAGTAATAATAGTTTATTTGTTTTATTATTATTATTATTATTATTATTATTTTAATGAATAATATTTATATATAAAAATAATTATATTGAGTGAAAAATTAAAAATATCAATAGAATTTATGTTTATTTTTAAAAACATTATTAAATAATAATATTTTAAATAGAAAAAATGTTTCTTTTTTGTATTTTTTTATATATGTATTTTTTTATGTTAGATATAAAATTTATATTGTTAATATAAAAATAATATTTTATGTTGAATTGTTAATTTTTTTAATAAAGAAAGTATATATGTTATTTAGAGTGAAAAATTAAAAATATCAATATAATTTATGTTTATTTTAAAAAACATTATTAAATAATAATATTTTAAATAAAAATAGATTTTTCTTTTGTATTTATATATATATTATGTTAGATATAAAATTTGTATTGTTAATATAAAAATAATATTTTACGTTGAATTATTGAATTTTTTAATAAATAAATTATATATATATTATATTACGTTGAAATATTTATATTTTATTTTACAAATAATATTTATGTTAATCATGTCACCCAAGGGGTGTGTTTGCTGGGGGGTTTGAATTTTGTGCTGACATTTGAACAGTATAAATTTTGAATTTGAATAGTTGTATGATGCGATATAAATACGCGTTGATGTGATGTTTTGAACGTAAAATTTTTAATATAATACAAAAAATAAAAAATAGGTGTTTGATTTGATGTTTTTGGAGAAAATTTTTTAGATGAATACTAGGATTTTGATAAAATCCTAGTAAACGAACACCAATCACACATCAACATATACAATTAAATATAATAATATAATATAGATTATTTATTCAAAAAAATCAATAATTCAATATAAAATATTATTTTTTATATTACCAACACAATTTTTAATATCTAACATAAAATTTACATTTATATAAAAAAAAATTTAAAAAATATTAATCAAATATTTAAATTTAAATTTTTATATTATACTAAAAAATAATTTACATTTAAAATATCACATCATACAACCATTCTAACTTAAAATTTTTATTATTTAAATCAAAATTTCAAACAAACGCACCATATATGTATATTTTATACTCTCTCCGTAAAAAAGTAAAATTTTATTTTACTATTTTAGTATGTCCAATAAAAAATTCTCTTTTTATTTTTTGGGAAAATAATTTTCACCTAAATACCAAAACATTTTAATTTTTTTTTTATTACTTTCACTTTAATATAAAAAATAAATTAGATATTACATTATTTATTACACTATATACCTACAAAATATTAATTTACCTTAATATTAGTACAAAAATCAAATAAATTTATTTTTGGACAAAAGAGAGTATAATTGTTAAATTATAAAAAAGAATAATATTTTTCTAATAAACTATTGAGGATGTAATGAAATTTACTAATTTTCCTTTTAGACAAATTACTTGTGTGATTTTACTATTTCAATTTTTTTTTTCCTCTAAAAATATCAAATCAAACATCCAATTTTTATTTATTATTACACTAAAATCTTATTTTATATTCAAAATATCAAATCAATACCTATTTATACCACGTCAAACAATTATTTCAATTCAAAATTTCACTATTTAAAATCAAAACCCAAATTAAAAACCTCAGGAGTAAACACACCCTAAGTATTTTAAATAAGTTAAAAAGAATACCTTTATTTATAATACTCCTTTATTTTCATTTTTTATTTAAATACCGTATATATTATCACTAATTTTGGTAAAAAACAAAAAAAATCAATATAAATCATTATTATTTATTGTCCTAATATTTATTTTTATTTTTTAACAAAAATCAACATTTATTATAAAATATTAATTTCTATATTTTTATATATAATGTAAAAAAAATCAAATCAAAATATAAAACAAACAAACCTTTAATATTTATATTTATGATCATTGTCACTGCTATTATTAAAGATTATTTCATTTTTTAATTATTTGTATAACAAAATATATTTATTTTTTAATCTTGTACAAAACCCAAAATGTAAATTTGTCTGAAATTCATATGAATGCAACAATATTAAAGTTTATTTATTTACTTTTAAACCTTAAATTTTTACTAATTAAATTTTGCATTACTCTAAAAAAATTATAATATATTTTTTTCTTTCATAAATATTCAATTATAAATTCAATATCATACTCGAACAAAAAAATTTCAAAACCCATTACAAAAAAAACATAGGTGTATTTAGTTGTGGGATCGGATTTTACTATTTTAATTTTTTTTTATCTAAAAATATCAAATTAAACATTATTTTTTTTTATTTATTACAATTAAATCTAATTTTACATTTAAAATATCACGTCAATATATATTTATATCACATCAAATAATTATTTTAATTAAAAATTTTATTATTTAAATTCAAATAAAAAAATTATAATTTTACAAGTAAACACACACTTGTGCCAGTCTATGCAATAGATAAAATAAACTAATAAAAATAAATAAAATAAAGAGTGTAGGGTATGTGATGTAATGTATCAATTTTAAAATACTAAATTAGGCCTTAGAAAGTGGGCCCAAAGACAAGGCCACGTGGCCCGTCACGTCCCATGGGCCCACCCATTCCTGACTCTCCTTACATTCCATGCTTCCTTGCCTGCCCCCACTTTCGCCGCCGGCCCTCAAATTCAGGCCGGCCGGCCGTCGCTCTCGCATTTTCCGGCGACCCCACTTTTCTATAAATACACTCTCCACATTTTCCCCACCCACTTCCCTCTCTCTCTCCAGTTTTCTCCACAACAATTTCATCTGATATCGTATCATACGAAATCGTAAAAATTCAGGGAAAAAAACCAGTAAACAGAGGTTGCAGGAAGGTTTGAATTTCTCGAAGAAATGAGTTTCTCGAATGGCGATGGAGTCGGAGGTATTGGAGAGCTGATTAAGCCGGATCTGAGTACGGACAACGGTTATGGTATTCCGGCGACGGTTGCGAGTAAAGGAAAGCAGCAACAGCTGAAGAAGAAGAAGAGAAAAGCTGAAAATCAAGCTCAAAACCCTAAGGTCAGTCCCATCCCCAAAATCTGCGCCCTAATTATGCAACAATTGGGGAAAATCGACAATAAATCACTACAATACACAATATATACGTATAGATTCCGGTGGATGCAGAGGAAGAATGCAAGAGCACGAGCGGAAGCACAATTACAAAGAACAGCACGAAGAATTCGAATTCGAAGGAGGAAGAGGCGCCGAAGCACGATTACATCCACGTTCGTGCTCGGCGAGGACAGGCAACGGACAGCCATAGCTTGGCCGAAAGAGTAAGAAACACGATTGGATTGAATTAGATTAGATTCCATGAATATTTGGTGTTCTTCATTGCAAATTGCAATTGCTATATATATTCAATCAATTGAACACGAACATTAACATGAATAAGATTGGATTGGATTTGCAGGTGAGGAGAGAGAGAATAAGTGAGAGAATGAGGTACCTGCAGGATTTGGTTCCAGGCTGCAACAGGATCACAGGGAAAGCTGGAATGCTGGATGAAATCATCAACTATGTCCAGTCTCTGCAAAGACAAGTTGAGGTACATCTGCAAATTCACAAATTCATTCCATCTTCTGCAATTCCAACAAATTTATATGCATATTTATGTATGCATGGATGATTCTTGGCAGTTCTTGTCTATGAAACTGGCTTCGATCAATCCAGCACCACCCGAATTCGACGTTGAAAGCTACCTGGCTGGAGAGGTATGTAATAATCTGATTTTTACCATTTTTTTTTTTTTTTGAAATGGTTTTATGTATTCTTTTTAAAAGGCTAAAAGTAGAAAAACAATGCATGATAAAAGAAAGTTCAAATTTTGTGGAACTTTTAAACTGAAAAATAATAGCAAAAAACTTAAGGGAGAAAATGATATGTATAGGGACAAAGTAATATATTTTTACAAGAAATATGAAATCGAATAGTAAAAATTAAATGAAACCAAATTCCAAATGAACATAGTTCTTCTCGTCTATCAAATTAGTTCAATTTTAACTTATATAATTTACTCCATTATAATTCAAAAAATTATTGTATTTGCTAGAACTTTTACATAAAAAATCATCGATTTAAAACTAGTAAGACCAAAATTGACATAATAAGTGAATAAAATGAATCATATATATATAGCAGTGATTATTCATCAACAAGGATACCTTTTGTTTCAGTTCTTGCTCAAAATCTAAGATCTCCGCAGGTGTATCCGCCTTGTTCATCGAGTCTTCGGGCAGTCGGGCAGGGGCCGGGGCCGGGGACACAACAGCCGATGGCGAATCCTGCAATTATTCAATTCAGCTCGTTAGGACACGGATTTGCCGATCAAGCCATGGAAATGGATGTAGCTGTTGGGAGAAGCATTAACGGTCCTGTATCGATCCTCAACACAGTTCTCGACTCACCGTGTCTGAATGTGAGTGTTCTCTTCTATCGATCTGCACAAAACGCTCAGCTTAGAAAACAAAACTTTGGGCTGTGTTCTTTTCGTGTTTAAAAAAATATTGCACAAAATTCTTCATAGTTAGTTTGGAAAGTTTTTCCTTATGAGTGGTGATTAGTAAAAGCACGATTCTCTTTTGTGTTTTAGAAAATATTGCATAAAATCTATCTTGTTTCATTTCGGACAATTTTGTGTAATATTTTCGGAAACACGGGAAGTCTCACGTAATTGTTTTTTTTGTGCAATATTTTCGAAAATACAAGCCTCACTCATTTTTTCGGAGATTCTGTGCAATATTTTATTTTTCAGACACAAAAAGCCTTACCAGTTTCTAACTACAAATGTAACGATTTTTATATTTCCGCAGCAAATGCAGCACTTAACATGGGAAAATGAACTGCAAAATCTCTATGGTATCGCGTACCTGCAAGAAAGATCAGCGCCGTATGCTTCGTCGCAGGCATTCGCAGGTAACAAACTCGTCGTTTCGATTCGATTTGATTCGATTCAATTCAATTATAGGCAGACAGTGCAACACAAAATTGTGAAGGAATGAATGATATTATTGTAGGAATGAAGGGAGCTGGACAAGTGAAGCTGGAAATGTGATGATGTACTAATCCTGAAATTGAAGCCTCTTTTTTCTTAAGCAGACAAATCTTAATACATACATACATGCATATGGATAAATATTTAATGTATACTTGTGCCAAGATATTAACAATGATGATTATGATTAATGAATGAAGGTATACACTAGTGCAAAAATATTTTTAAAAAATAAAAATAAAAAAACATTGCATATCATTTTACCTCAAAAAGATCCCTTTAAATTACTATCTCATCAAATAAATCTTTTTGATCAATTTTAATAATATATTATTTTTTTCATAAAATATTACAACAAAATATTATTTAAATAAAAAATTAAATAACACTTAATTACAAACACCGTACCTATTGTCATTTCGATTTGTCTTCTATCATTATATTATTATTATTATTTTTACTTTAAATGATGTGGTCCCATCAAATAATAAAATACAATTGTACTTTTTTATTAATAACATATTTTACAACCCGAGTATTTTAGTCAATATATTATTACAACATTAAAATATTAATAATATTTTAAAAATTACTTAATTAAAAAAAAAAAACAATATTTATTTTTAAATAATTTTTATTATAAAAAACAAAAATTTATTAATTATTATTCATCCTCGTTAAAACAATGAAACTCGAATACAAGACATTCCCTTCCCTACGTCATGTTAGGGAACTAGGCTTATTCACCTCAAATCTTCTATTTTTATTTATTTATTTTTTAACATACATACATGTATTATTGTTTTATTATTATTATTATTATTATTCAATATTTTCAAAGGCGTATTCCAAATTACCACGACTCTACATACATAAAAAATAAATAAATAAAATAAAATTGAATCTATTTATCTATAGTAACTATTTTTAATAAATATCACATCATATATTTATTTACTAACATAGAAAAATCATATCAAATAGTATTAACATTTTAATGATCTTTGAAAAATTCAAAACAACAAAGCTTCCAAAAATAAAATTTCTAAAAATTTGTTTCTAAAAAATATATTACATAAGTAATTATTTCTATTCACAAAATGTTAAATGACTAAAAAAACTAACCTAAGAACTCATACCAACAGAAATAGAAAGCTACACTATTTTTTTATTTTATTTTTTAAAATATATTAATCAATGTTTCCAAAAGCTAGTCATTTCAATAAAAAAAGAAAATGTTTGTGTTTGTTTATAATTTCAAACACAAGTTTACATTATTTAGCTCGTATAATTATTAATTAAAACATAATATATTACTATAAAAAAATTATATTACAATACTATTTAAAAAAAAATTAATATTTTATTTCAAATAAATTTCAGGACTAAATAAACCCGATAATAACTTCAGGCAACAGACAAAAGTTCTCTAAGGGGTCACACTCATCAATTTGCACAAGTGGTGATATTAAATTAAAGCCTGAAAGCTGTATGAACCATTTTATTATATATCTATATATGTGTCTTGTGTGTGGAGAGAGAATATGTGTGTAAGCCAACCAGTTAAAACATCCATGTTCCTTCTGTGAGCATAGAATGAGACATGCCAGTTATAAATCCTCCACTTATATAGAAATTTTTCAAAATTTGAAAAAAAATAAATAAATAAATAAATAAATAGTAAAAAATTAAAACCTTTAACATATCTGACCTGCAGAAATTGCAATGGATGCATCCTCTCTGAGATGTCCCATTTGCCTTTGGGTTGTGGGGGCACCTTGGCATGTATTGTATGTATATCCAACAACTGCAAAGCCCTCAAACTCAACCAACTCTTAGTGATAGATAGATAGATTATAGATATATAGAGACAGAGGCAGAATACATATACATACCTTCCTATTTTCCTATATAGTTTAAAAAATTTGCACTATTCTTTCTTATATTTTAAAAATTGCATTATTTCAAAATTTATTGCATCGGATCTCTAAAAAAATTGCTCGATCATATTTTCATAATGCTACACAAAATATGAAGGAATCTCACACTGTTTTTAAATCATGAGAGAGAATGATACCGAATTATAACCAATTTTGCATATCCAAATCCATTACAACAAGAACACTATTTATCAATAGTGAAAAGGCTGGAAATTGAAGGAATCAACTCAACAGCAATGAAGAAGTTAGGACAGAAATCTTTCCAAAGCATAGGAACAGGCAATTCAAGAAACAAAAAAATAACAAGCAAATTAATAATCAGACATTATTTTGACAAATTCTCAATCATAAAAAACACAGGAAAAGATTCCCTTTGCATCAAAATGATATGATATGATAATGTAATAGTGGTAGACAAGTAAATGGAGAAGCAAAGCTGTATCCTACACCTTTCACACTAACACTGCTACTCTACTCCTGTTTTTGGGAACCTTCATTTTCAAGCCATGTGGGGAAAAAGCAAAGGCTGGACCTGCCCTAATCTATTGCCAAAATTTTCTTGATTCTCTTTGACCCCATCCAGTGGATGATGAAAGAGAATCTGACCCCTTCATAACTTAAACACCACTGGCCTACTATGTTATACGATCATAAATTGACTCCACAGATGCATATAAGTCTTTCAAGTGAACTATCGAAAAGAAATATGCACATTCTTGAGATCAGTGATCTCTAATCGATCCATTTAAAATCCATCTAAATCCAAGGGTATCAACACTATTAGTATAATTAATTAAAAAGACAAAAAGAAAGTAATAATAATAATAATAATAATAATAATAATAATAATAGAACTTTTCCAAGGTTCTCAGCAAAAATAAATGATAGGCTCTATGAACAAATGATTTTTTTTTTGTCAAAATACTATAAACGGACAATATAATAATAAATTCTACAAAAATAAAAATTATCTTAATCATATATACAATAAATGAAATATACATGTTCTGTAAAGAATGATCGGCGGGTGTGAAAGTGGACTGCCAAACCTAGTTTGTGATACATAAAACTTTACAATATCATAACTATTATAAAGTCAATAACTCAATAATAATAAGTACAAATTCTAATGGCGAGGAATATAAAATTAGAAAAAATTTAGTTAGAGTTTACTAATTCTAAAGGCCAGAAAGAAGATGGGATTAATTTTAAAATTATTTTGGTTAGAATTTAATTTTAGAATTAAAATTAGATTAGATAATTGGTCAAGTTGCTCCTGCTAAAACCGATAATAATAACAATTAAATAATAATAATAATAAGTGAAGAAGGAGACATAACTCTGCATGTTATCTCCCATTCACTATTTTGACAAACTATTCCTTCTAATTGTCATGAATGGATATCAGCTCACACATGCTTTCTGTGCTTTTTGTATTGTTGTAAGCATAAACAGAAGATTTCCCACTAAATTTCTGAAACCGAATCTAACTAAAGGCAAAGAGGGAAACATAGAGCATAATTTTAGTGTCATCTACTCTGTTTCCCTCTACTAACTTAAATTCAAAGCTTTGTTCAATTCCTAAAGTGCCAATGGTATAAGGGATCTCTAGGATATGTACCTAATCCACATTTTTAAAATGAGTCATGCACTAATAAATTTGCATCAAGTAACATGCTAATAATATTGGGCATTGTTCTTATAGAATGAAAATGATTGCACGACGGAGGGCATAGTTATAAACTACACATGCTTGCAAATGAGAGTTCAGAGCACAATAATTATCGAACACTAACATAGAAGATACTTCTCTCTTTAAAAGCATGAATTTACAACCACAACCAAATGAAACCATGGGAATCTTTTACTCACTAAGGGAAGTGAAACTAACAAACATATTGCTGAAGACTCATGACTTGTTCGTCCTATGCAGATTCTTCCCCTGCCATTGATCAACATAAATATGTTCATCTCTTCTGGAATCCATCGCATAAATTGGGGACAATGTATGAGGTTAAAGTGTAATGCTATACCTTTCCCGGGAACAATAATTACTGGAGCTGCTTTGCAGTTGTGGAAACAATATTCACTTACACTGCCATGTATTACACTGCAGAAAATATTAAGTAGAAACAAATCAGTTGAACATAGGCAACGAAAAGTGATTAGCACAGAAAGATTTGATCAAGGGCTCAGACAAGTATACAGTCGAACAGAGCATTAAGGATAAAGAACGACCTTTGAATCAAGCTCCTGCCCCTGGTGCCCATCACCACAGCAGCGGGCTTCAACCTCTCTGCTTCCTTGCAAATTGCCTTGGCTGCATCTCCTTCCACAATCCTGGCTTTTGTTCTCAACTATTTCCAAAGAAATGTTTATATGTTATTTCCTTGTAAAGTTATAAATCAAAGTAAACAGAATTCATTCATTATGTGGCCAAATGGTTTCAATGTTTCAGGATGATTGTCCTTGGTTTACTTTAATATAACGAAAAGTGGCAAGAAGAATTTCCTTATTGTGTTAAGTGTGGTTGCCAAATAATGAAAAACTTAATTTATTGGTGAGCCTCTTTTTGTAAAAAAAAACAAATGCTATGTTAAACTCTTTTTATGTATTTTTTTTTTCCAAACCATAATATGTTCATTTGATGTTTTATTTAGACAATGGGCATGTACCAAAAGTGCCACAAAAGAGTGTGAAATTATAACAACATCCATCCACCCGACGCAAAGACAGGTAACGAACTATCTTCTAATCCTCTAATATTTGATCATTTTAATTTAGAGTTCTAAAGAATTAAGCTTTGCACTACAGTGGCTGCTGAATTGTAATATTGCCGCGGTTTCAAAAGTTTGGCAATTGTGTGACGCTGTTTAGACAGCCTCCTCTGACAGAGTAGATGACAACCACAATGACATATCTAGAGAATAATCTCAGCATTTACAGATAAAAACTTGTGTCCGAAAATTATCCAAACAAGCACTTAGGCACCTAATTCACGTAGAGGATCACCAGCATTTAAACCAGACATCTACCATATTATGGATATCATCATTTCTGAATTTCCAATAGATGATTATTTCCTTATTCATCCTTTGAAGAGTTTGTCAAGTTGAAGCAGGATCCATTGTTGGGGCTTATGGATAATAGCTAGGATCATGAAACAAATACTTTCCAAAAAGTGTACTATAGTAGGGCTAATATGAATTCAACTTTGAGATAATTCAACAATATTCTCCAACATATCAACCTAATAGATGAGCACACACTCCACACCCCGCATTATATCTCAACACGACATTCCTTCTGCCTCAAATAAACTTCAATCACACTAAACTCAAAAAATTCACAGTATCCATCCACCAACAATTTTAGTAATGTAGTCCAGCTACTCAAATCTGAGGTCTAAGCTTGAATCGAGCTGGCAAAGTGGAGAACTTTATGAGGGTGAGCTAGGCTTGATTTGTTAGCGTATCAGATCAAATCAAAATTGTGACATTGTATTAACAAAAATTCTTGTGTGTTCTTATTTGCATTAGGTTCTGATGTTAAGTTATATTATAATCAACCCTAAATCTTAACCCAAGTGCGAGTTTCTATTTTCTAAACCATTTTCTACACCCAACTGTAAAAAAAAACTACTGGCTCCGTCCAACAACTTATTTTCACTCTCATTTTTCGTTCGTCCATTAAATTTGCATCTTCAACATTTAACTATTACACTTAGTTCATCACTTATGTAATGCAATTGACAATGCCATTATTTTACATCATTCTCATTATCTTCATTTTTCCATAAATACCTCTAATTACCATTTTATACCTTTATATCACTTTTTCAAGGAAATATTAATTTTTCTTAATATCAGTAAACAACAACAAAACAATCCAAATCCAGAAAAACTCATGACACCGTAAACATTGCAAAACACTGAGTAAACACACAATTTCCATTACAATTATGAATAAGGATGAAGAATCAAGTGTTAAACTCACCATAGCCACCTGGAATGCCTCAACTGCAAACTTCTCCATGAGTCCCTGAGTCTTCTCGTATACAACCTCATTCTTAAAACCTATAACCAAAGTTTTTATGCTTTTACGAAAAATCAGAGATACGAAATGGAAATTGAAGAGGACGAGGAACAGAGGACGTAACTGGACACGGCGTGGACGAGATGGAGCGTATCAGCGAGGCGGCAGAGATGCGTGATCGCCCAATCAAAGGCGTGTTTGCTGTTCGGTCCATGATCGACGGCGATGATTATGTCGCGTCCTCTTCTCCTCTCGCCGGTTTCCCGGTTGAGCTCCGTCGGGGATACGACCGGAATCATCGACGGCAAAACAACTTCTCTCCAGCTATACTCCTCGTCCTCCATCACCGGCTCCATTAACGCTGCGAATTACCTCAATCAATCGATCAAACGAGGATGAAATTAGCAATCGGAAATATAAAAATAGGGATTTGGAGACGTAACGTAGTCGAGATTATGAACACTTGTCTTTTTCGCAGCAATTGCATGAATTGGACACATCGAACCGTAGGCGCCGAGTACGTTGCTTTTTCTCTATAATTATTTGGACCAAATGGTCAAATATGCACGCGCGTTCGGGACACGTGGGAATGCGTGATCTTCTAGAAATATTCACAGGTGTTATAAAGTTGGGTGTCGGATTTTAATAATCGTTTTTGGTGTATTTTTTAATTAATTTTTTTGTTTTTGATTAATATTAAAAAATAATATATATAAAGTATTAATATAATATTTATTCCGTCCATTAACACGATTTGACCTGGATCAAAAATTAAAACAAAATAATATTTTATTAAAAAAATAATAGATAAGTTTGAAGAATTTTTAAAAATTTGGATAGAAATTAAAGTAACGAAAAAAATATAACAAAGCTAGCTGTAATAATTAAATGTTGATTTATTAACTTATATAAAATTAGTAATGAAATAAATTTTGAAAACAGACTAAAAAGAAAAGTGAAATTAAATTGATGAATTGAAAGAATATACTCCTCCGGTCACATAACTAAGTATCAATTTACTTTTTGCATATTGATTTTTGAAGATTAATTATTATATAAAACGTATTACAAATCAAAAAAAAATTGCAAAAATATTTTTATTATTGTCTTATAATATTAATATAATGACATTTGTATAAAAAATTATACAAATATAAAGATATTTTTAACGTTAAATACAATGACGCAAAAGGTAAATGAATACATTGTTATGGAACGGAGGGAGTATATAATATGTATATATTTTTTAATTCTAAAAAATATTGCTCTCCGGTCACATAAATGGGTGGATATGATATCTTGATTTAAGATTAATTTTTACTACTCTCTTCGTCCCAAAATTATAGTATTAATTAAATTGGTCACAAAATTTAAAGAATATTAATATTATATTAATAATCGGTAAAAACACTGCTTACGGTTTAATTGTTTTAGTAAAAAAATTTGAATATATATATATACACGCCCCAAGTATAAAAGATTATAAAAGTAATATAAAAATAATACTTTCAGAGGGAGTACATTTATATATAATATATTATTTTTTAAAAAATATATATTTTTAAAATTTTATATTTTTTTTTTTTATAGAAAGAACACTCACTTATATTTTATAAATAATATAAAAATAATTGTGTGTAATATATTAATTTACTTTGAAAAAATATAATTCTAGAAAATTGTAAAAGAACACAGTTTTCATTAACATATTACATTGAAAAGTTACTCTACATTCATTTGAAATTTGATTCTAGTTTATTTACTCCATACAACAACAACAAATCCCGATTTTTTTTTTAAAAAAAAAAAAAAGTTAAAACAAAAACATTATTTTCACTAACAAAATATTACACAAAAATAAAAAACCCATTTTCTCTATTTAAAATTTTAAATCCTTGCACGCTTGCAAGTATACTTGCATCAAATTCACCAACTATGATGAACACCGTAACACTTACAAAGCACATCTCAACTTACACAAAAATAAACCAAGTAAATAGAGTGAAGGGTTGACAATAGACAATACAAGTATCCTTCCAACAACAACATCAACAACAACAACAACAATAATAATAATAATAATAATAATAATGTAAAGAAGGCAATAAAAAAAGAAAGATAAGTACACAACAGAAGTGAATAAAATTAGGAAAAGCAAGAAGCCTACAAATAAGAGAAGACCAACAAAGCAAAGCTAACAGTAACATGTAAGAGAAAAGATTGTTAACTTTTAGTAGTATCTTATAAAGAGGGCTGCTTGCAAAAACACACATGCCACAAAAAGCAGTAATCAGCAGCCTCTCACCATGTAATGTAATTAAATTTAATACATACACGTAATAAATCAAATTTTTTTTAAAAAAATAAAATAAAATAAAAGCCACACAACCTACACCTTTTCCTTACCATTCATACCATATTTCATGATACTACACAACCACAAATCATATAAAATCCCCATTCCTCTTACCACTTCTCATTCTCAGAACGTTTTTATTGATTCTGCCCTTTACAATGTGTATTATGTCTGTGTGTGTGTAGATTCGATACCTGATTCGTCGTCGTTCGTTTCCTCTTCGTCACATCAAGTAAGGCGATCGGACTTTTGTTGTTCCGATTCTTCCGACGACGGGGATCCTGGCAATAAATAAGTTCAAGTGTAGTTTTGTAAATGACAAAAGGCATTTGTAGATGAAAGTATACGGGACATTACTTTCTTTTCTTTTCTTTTTTTCTTTATATGATCGGAAGGGAACATTACTTTCTTGAATCAGTATTTGATGGATCTTGACCATAGAAACCCCTTCTTGAAAGGGGATTGGTTGTTCTCGGACATCGAAGAAGATCGGCTCGTTTTCGAGCTGAAAGAGAAGTGCCGCCGGAGGAAAGGCTTCCCCTTTGTGCCTGAACTCGAGGTCGATTTCGAGCTCCTTCCGTCACCTCGGCCTTTGAAGTGGTCGAACATGCCTGTGTTGAGATCATCATCGACTACACGTCTCCTTGATCGTTTCTTAGCTTTCGAGTCCATTTCGGATTTCAGCGCCTTTTCGGCCATCTTCACCGTGCGCTTCTCCCCGTAGGTACAGACAGGGCAAGGAGGGTCGTACTTGTGGATTTCGGGAGTCAAGCATTCCAAGCATTCGCCATGGTAGACGTGCGCGCATGTTAGAACTGCGACGACAGCAACTTCGTTGGCGGAGATTATCTTCTGGCTGGTGCATCCCCATACGGATCTCTCGGTTAGAAGCTTCGTGCAAATACCACAGGTTTGGAGGTCAAAGGAAGCAGATGCAGGGCTATGCCCGGCAATTTTGTCGCGGCTGAATCCCGACGCTTCGCTATCAAAAGACCACCGCTCTTTCCGAGTGGTCACGAGCTCATGGAAAGTCGGGATCGACCAATTGTCCGAAGAACCACCATTGGATCCCATGGATGTGTCATTGCCCCAAGCAGGAGGGAGAAACACAGGTGGCTCCTCGGATATCGAGAGCGTCGGTGACGGCGGCTTGGGTTTGGGATTCCGGGCAGCGTCGGATCCTTGACGGAGCAATTGTTGTCCTGAAGAGCGGCGAAGCCATCTTGAAGGAGTCGAATTTGGTGGAGAGGCAGACATAGACGGTGCAGAAGGGGAGAGCTTGACAGGGTACGGACACGAAACGGACGGCGCATCTATCGGCTCCTTCACCTACCAGTAACAAAAAAAATGTCTTAAAACTTCTAAAGAATAATTATCCAAAGATACATATTGGTTTCTTATACATGCCTCTAAAAGATCGAACCGATTATAATCATCCTCTTTACATACCTCCATAATATTCTGCAACACCGGCTGACCTGAAATATTAATGAGTATTGAAAATGTCAAATACGGACGCAACGAGGGCTAATATCATAGTATGAACTGAATGACCCTGCAATTTATCGACCCACACTGACTCACTCTCACACGCAAGTATCCAAATTAATTAGATTCACATTATTGCAAGGAATTAAGACATATATCGAAGAATGGAATAGCTTTGCAAAGCCAGATGGATGCAAGGCACAATGCAGTAAAACATCAAATTATCAATCCTTTGTAAGATTTCATAAACATTATCTTCCTAGTCGACTTCAATGAACTTCCGTACTAACCTAGATGCTTTATACATTTAGTCCATGGGAAACCTCTTACTGATTGTATTCCACTGAAATAACTACTTTTCATCTACAAGTTTTTATCTAACAATTGGGGAGACCCTGTACATCTAACAAAAACATACAAATTCCAGGCACCAAATCTCATCCCAAATGTATTAAACTACCGTTCAGAAATTCCAATCCTCCTGTGAAAATTAGTGCATATCCTAATCATATAATCCATGCCAAGTGCTAAAGAAGCTGAGGAATTATAATAGTAATAGATTAACCACGAAACAGAGTGCAAACTTATATCTGACCCTTATACTAAATGAAATTTATTTTATAGACTTCCTATCCAGCAACACCCAAATCTTCCATACAGTACTCCTGTTTCATTGCCTTCTCTGTCGCCTTATCCAGTAAAGCATTAAGGGGAAAATAAACAAGAGCATCTACAGCAACTGTTGTCCTCTGTTGCTGAATAACTGTTTAATTAAATTTAAACCAACAGAACAAACTGGGAATGGTTATGGCAAAACAAAGAATCACTTTACTAAAAGAACAAATAAATTGCAGATATAATATTGTTTCAACTTCACTGCAATGATGGTGGGTGATAAATGTAGGGATAGAGAACTATGGGCTTACTTTCCTTTACTCAATATACATGACATTTATATTATATTTAAAGTAAAAAAATTCGAACATCAATTTGTTATTTACCAGAAGATAGGTGCCTTGAAAACTCACCATTCCCTACAGAGGGTGGGAGTTTGGAAACCGCAGGTGACTGTGGAGCATTTAACGGACTGCTCTCCTGAGAAGCAAAAGCAGTGTCAACAGTGGTTCCAGATTTGACTTCTATGTGACTGTTGCCGCCACCTCGATCATGTAGCCAATTAACCGATGTTTCTTCCCCAGCCACTCGCCCACGATTATCCCATCGAAAGCTCCAAGTTGGTGAATAGCGAGTGTGCCGCTGCAGTGTTTCACCAGGTGATCTGCTCACTATAGTTCTATCCTTTGCAGCAACACAACAAGCAGCTCCCATTCTTTCTCGGCACAGATGATAAAAATGGTGAGCTGGGTTTACACCAATGATATCAAAGAAATAAATGTGACAATCACCGGCAGCAAAGCACCTGCATTTAAAAACCATCGTTTAAACACAATCAAGAGATGGGTCTGGAAGTCCAAGAAATTGATGCTCTCTCACCGTTTACTTCTCGTAAATTTAATGCCAGCAATCAAATCCTTTACACCCTAATCATAGAGTATCAGCCTACATGCCAAACCGAAAATTAATCACTTGAACAAGAATAACTATACTTGCTCACATAGAACACACAGATATATAAGGCACTAATTATGATTTCAAACATAAGAACAAAAAAATCAATATACAAATACAAGGTACAGAGCAATTACTCACTTATGCACATATGAAACCACCACGTGAATAAAACCAATTGACTGAATGAATCCACCAAGATTTTACCCACTTAGATGAACATATAAAGCCAAATTAAACATTTCGTACCATGAAGAACAAAAGTTCAACGCCTTTCTAAATTCATTCGATCAAGCGACCTGGTGTGAACCTTCAACCGCAAAAAATGTATAATACAACGCGAATGATCACTTGAAGATCTGATACAGAAATTCACCCATCTGGAACACTAATTGTCGAAACATACCACCCAATAAATCATAAGATCAAAAAAAATCTCCAAAAAATTCACCAACAGAGGCAAACTCATTGAAAATAGACACAAAAGCCAACACTCGATTTCATTGTGCTATTTCGGAGGCTAAAAACCCTAAAATCACGAGGCGTCTGCCACCGCAGAGGTCAATCTAGATCCGAAACTCATGTCTAAACAACTGAAAAATCAAACAAAAGTACTCATACCAACCCATTCCATAACCACCACTCATCCGCATGATTCACAATCCCAAACGAAAACAAACTCCGCGGAATCCAAAACAATAGCCAGAATTAAAAAAATAAATACAAAAAAAAAGCATCATCAAACACCAGCGAAACTTACGTGATCGGGCAGTTCCCCTTCCACCGCTCACGAACCCTAAACGAAAAGAAGAGAGAGACTGTGAGTCCATATACAGAGAGAGAGTAATTCGCATAACAATAATATATACAAACAAAATTTGTACGTATATATATTATATATAGCGCCGTGTGTATGTATATAATTAGACTGAGAGAGAATACGTGGAAAGTGTACAGAGGAAGCGATTCAGCTCATTTAACGGCGTTAGTTGACGGTCACGTTTTCCGGCAAGCGGTGATGTAACGGCGTCAACGTGAACATTTTCGCAAGCACGCGTCTTCTTCGAGGGCTGTCATTGAAAAGTGTCGTGCAGTGAGTAGTAGTACCCTCTGCAACAGACTTTGTACGATTTGGACAGCTCCTTATCCTCGCATGCTTTCTTCTGTGGCACGTGGAGTGCGCACTAAGCATTCGATTGATTTTTGTCACGAATTTTTTTATTTTTCAATTTAAATGTTACTTTGCAGTGAAAAATATATATATATATTTCATTAAATAAAAGTTTAAAAAGAAAACATTACATCAGTGATTGATTAACTTTGCCAAACAGTTTTAATTTATTGAATAAAAACATTAGCCAAAAATTTTCAAAAGAATTTTATTTTAAGCAAGAAATCGACGTGTCTTTCACAGTTTCACTCACTATAAATAGAAATGAAAATAATTGATGACCAATCTGTTACTAGTACAAAAGAATTTATTTCACTTATGTGTCCAAATTAAGCATTATCATATGTGGCCACGTGTTGCTCCACGACATTAAGAGATTATAAGAATACAAAATTTTAAAATACGTGGGGTTGTTTAAATAAAAAATTTTAAATAAATTAAATATTTAGTGGTACAGTATTTTTTAAAAACTAATGCTAATGAATATTGGGTATGAGTTCATCACATATTATCAAATTATTTTTAACGGGACATATTTTTTTCATTTTTCAAAGTAGGTAAATAGATTATTTCACTATGAATTTGTTATACCACTTTGATTTTATATTTTTTATTTTTTTAAATTAAACTGAATAATACTTCATCCCTTCCGAATGAATGTATTCCTTTGAAATTTTGTAGTAAATTAAAAAAATAATAGTACGTTTGTTTGTGTAGATATGTTTGTTGATTTCACATTTAGCTGCACTCTGCAAATAAAAATTTCGAAAAAACTGAGGGTGTGTTTGTTTGGAGTTTGGATTTTGATTCGGGATTTGAATAGTAAAAATTTTGAATTTGAATAGTTGTATGATGTGATATAAATAGGTGTTGATGTGATGTTTTGAATGTAAAATTGATTTTTAGTATAATATAAAAAATAAAAAATAGATGTTTGATTTGATATTTTTGAGGAAAAAAATGGGATAAATATTGAAAATCTAATCCAATCCCCCAAACAAGCACATCCTTAAATTATAAAATTATTTCATACAATTGGAGTTATGGAATGCCTACAGCGAGACACTTGTGCACTATGCATTGAAAAACGTAGTCATACATGTCCAATCCTTTCTTTGAATTGTTACAGCTCAAAATTATATATATTATTTAAAACTTCAATTACATTGACAAATTTTGAATAAATAACAATTTTCAATATAATATTACACATTTAAAACTTTTAAACAAATACAACTTACAAAATTCTAACTTTAAAAGATAACAAAAATTTGAATAAATAACAATTTTCAATATAATATTACACATTTAAAACTTTTAAACAAATACAACTTACAAAATTCTAACTTTAAAAGATAACAAAAATTCAAAACTCAATTCAAGAACAACTAATATTAATACTAATAAATATGCTCTTGCACGTATGTCTACTTTTTATATTTCATTTTACTTTTTTTTTTCTTTTTATTTCACTTATATCTCTCATTTTTTTAAAAAAGAAAAAAGGAAAAAAACCTCGATTTCACCTGCTTACCAATTCACTTTCTTCTATTCGAACACATTTCACTATTCATTGATTTTTCTTGACTAGGTTGCTCACATCGTTCCACATTTTGTTTCAAAAAGTCAATTAAAGAAAATCGAAAAGGAAGCCGCCCCTGAAGGCGTATATAGAGGAGATGCCCAATAATTCATGATTCTGCCGTCGATTCCAACTCCACCGGTCGCATCGTAGCTTACCGTAGCCACAGTCGAAGCATTTTCCAAATTGAAAGTTGTTGTGGAAAAAAAACTTTCCTATGACGTGGGGGATATGGTCGCTGCGACTTGAGCTCATGTGTTTCCTTCAGGTAACACTGATTTTCTTTAGGAAAATGCATCACAATTTGTTGCGGTTATTGTCGTAGTGTTTTCACAATTGCAACTTGCAACGGGTTACAGTTCGCCTATAACTTGGAAGACATATGTGTTGTTGACTCAAGTTTGTATATTCTCTTAATCTAACGTTAATCTCTTTTTGAGAATTGCATTATAGATTGTTATGGCCACTATTGAGGCATCTTCTCAACTGCAGATCATTGTAAATCATAAGTAACTTATTTCAAAGATCTGTGCACCACCAGCCTAAACTTCTGCACTTTCATTAGGTAAAACTAATGTTATGTGGCATACATCAACGTCTCTCTTTGGTTTCATTGCCGGAGGATAGGTTTAAGGCTTCAAAACTACAACTCTGCATAGACTTCGAAGTTTCGCAGGTCATACAAGATATGTTGAGGGAATCACATTGCAACAATGTGTAACGCCTCATCTAATAGGACTCAGTGCAACATTGTCAACTCTTTTGACTAAAGAATATCATAAGGAAGGCTCTCCTCAAGGATTTTTTTCAATAAGTGATTTTTTATATATATATAGATTTTTAGTTAGGAATTCACTTTTGAAGTTCAAAAAGATTCATCAAATAATCTTTTTTTTATATTAATCGGTGAGTGTTAAGTCGAATTCATAATGTTTAATGTCAAGGAAAAACAATGCAAAAATGTATGCTATTTCATGAATTCGAAAATTAAGATTAAGTTGCGTTTAAAGGAAAAATTACACTAAGAAGTGTAAATATGGAACACATAATTAAGTGGAGTAATATGACTAGAGATTGAAATGTGAGACAGATCACGTGGCGATAGGGATTGGGATGTGAATGTTGGCAAGGGAGTGTTTGCGATCTACGTGGTGTTTATGGATGTGGTGGATTAATGATTAATAAAAGTGAAGAGTATATAAAGGCACGAAAAGGATAAGGGTGGCATTCCATGAGTGGAAGTATTTGAAATATATGTATAAATTTCGTATAGGAAAGTGTCATGTGCAAGTGATTATAGAAAATCTATACTTGCTAATATACTTCGCGAGTCAATGAGTCATTTTTAGCCTATGGCTAATTGTGTAAAGATAAACTAATCTTTAATTATTGAGCTAGTAATTTATTTATAAATTTATTATTATGTGTCTGGTGAGCCGTTCTATTCAGCACTTGCGACTAATTAATTGAGAGATCAGTTTGCTACCTATCTTCATTTATTCTAAGTCAAATTTACATTCAAAGAGTTACTTTCACGATATATTCTTGTTTTATATAGTAGTCTGGAGCCCTTTTGAAATCTTAGATTAGATTGAATGACTTATATTCACATTTTAGTCAAAGATCACACAAGGCATTTCGCAAAATAGTTATCTTATACATATGTCATCTATGTTTGTTGGAGATATGAAGAGGAATGGTATTCTATTACGTAAAGTTGAATTAAAGTTCACATTACACTAGGAAACATTAAGATCATCTAAGTGCATAAGGTAAATAGAATAGGCGGCAAGCAAGTGACTCATGTCACAAGTACTGTCAGTCACCCGCGCTAGACGTTTTGAAAATCTTTTAAAGAAATTGTAATTTTCAAAAAGTGGAAATATCCAAAATGATTCAAATTGGCCTCTATTTATAGACATTGACAGAGCTTCTAGAATGTTGATGGTTACAAATTGTCAGCTGATGAAGTGATTCTCAGTCGTCCAATCCAGAAAATGCAAATGTGGACGGTAGATCTAGGTGAACTCTTTTTAGAATTGACACTAACTCAATGTTATATTTCTCAAATATTTTAGACAATTCTGATTGTCCACTTCAAGCTCAATTTCTTCTCTCGTGATTTGACAAAGCGGCATCTAGAGCACGACCATGTGAGTTTTTCTCAACGCGAGCTTATTTCTTCAGAATTCGTGAATGAAATTACTTAAAAATACCAAGGCATATCAAATTATACAAAAAAAAAAAGATGAAAATATATTAACTTAGGCATTTTGGCATAATTAAACAAATATTTAATCAGAAATTACCATATATACTTGTAAAAAGTACTAAAAGAACATGTTCAAAATCAATTTCATTAGGAATGTATGCAACAACCCTTAACAACGATGATTGGGAGGCCATTTACCATCTATAGCGTTGTTGCCTTCACCGGGCCTCCACCTAATAGCGATTTTCAACTATTAGGAGACCCCCAACTTATACCATCAGGGCGAGTGCCTCAAGAGCAGCCTGTAAGAAATCAGCTCGAACTTCAATGTATAAACCACAAGGTCATTGTAAAGATTGTTCGGAAAATCTATGGTGATTTTTTATGTTTATCTGTTCGTCCACATAACAAACAGTCTTCCTAAGGTTACGTCCTTGCGGAAAAACCTTACTCAACAAACTCTGAATCAAAATCAGAGGCCCTACAACCCACAATCACTAAATCGCAATCAGGGGCTTCACATCCCACAACCTTTGATTTTTAGCTTAAGATTTTAAGTTCGTCGACCTTTAAGGTTCGTTCAAACGCTTTGCAGTTCCTAACCTATGACTTTTAACTCAAGGATTCAACATCCATAGCCTTTGAGTTTCAATTGAAGGTTGTGCAACCTAAAACCTTTTATTTTCAGCTTAAGGCTTCAAAATTCACGACTAACAAGGTTCATTCGAAGGCTTCACAGCTCGCAGTCTTTGATTTTCATCTCAATAGTTCAAATTTCATAGTCTTCGAGTCTACACCGAAGGCTTAGTAGCTTGCAATCTTTGATTTTCATCTTGAAGCTTGTAAGTTAATAACCTTTGAGATTTGTTTGAAAGTGTCGCAACCCACAACTTTGGTTATCAATCCGAGGCTCCAGACTCTTGGCAGCTGATTTTTTGTTGCGAAACCTACATTCAGCAATATTTGAGGAGAAATTTAAATCAAAGGCTCTTAAACCCTTGTGCTTTGCATTCCCATCAAAGACTTTACGGCTTCGGTCATATAATATCATTTGGAGGCCTTGCAGGATGTTTTATCCAAAGCTCAACTAAAAATCTTAAAGCCAACAACCCCGCACGAGGCCATAGAAGGGGTCATCACCTCATCGATCATCCAACCTTCTTGGCAGATTGGCTTGACTATTAAATTCAAAAGAATGGGGGATAGTTCACACCGATCAAAAGTTTGAGGCAAGTGAAGATCACACCACAATCCTCTATGGACTTTGTTAAGAAGAGTCCTATAATCACTATCATGGTTTCTCAAAGAAGTTATTCAATATTCGACAACTAGTTGGCGTCTATCTATATCGATAATTTTCCCAGAAGAGGATGTGTTTGGCCCTTTGGCCACCAATACTACATCACATTTTCTATATAAAAAAGACAAAGAATATTACTTCCTATGAGCAAAAGCCTTCATTGGAGCCGCTTCAAGCCCATAATAACCTTTGACACCGTGCAACAACAAAAAGAGTAGGACTTCGTCGAAAACATTCAAAATAGTACTTCGAGTGTGCAACCAGGTATCTTAACTACCGAAGTACCAAAAGACCAGCAAAAATTAATTTCCTTGGAGGAGAACTGTTTGTGCGAAGCGAGCCTGTATATCGTCACAATTAATCGATATTTTAGAGCAGGCTTTCATTATTTAGGTGGTTTTAATGGTCAATACGGTCAGATTCTTATCAAATGAGTCCCTGGCCTCTTATGACTAGCTACAGTGACATTATGGTAAAAGGGGCCAGTCATGCAATGTTGGTCGACCATAAGGACAATACAACACATTCTCTCAAAAATGTTTTCATCGTCGATGGTGTTAAAAAAGTTAATGAATAGTCCACATGCAACATAAAAATATGAAAGTTCCGAGTCACGAACTAAGGCCGACTTACGACTTAAAAACCTAAGTGCCTCGAAATGACAAGCAACTTTGGAACTAATCGAGTCACATCACTTCTTATAAAAAAAAATATGTGATGTTTTTGAAAAATTTAGTCCATCCGATATTTTTTAGAGTGCATTTGTCATCCTCACTTGAAAACGTATCGGATCGATGAGATCCTAAATGAATAAAGCATAAGGTAATGAAAATAATTAGGCTTCAACTTGATGGTGAAATCTCAAAACTTAATAATTAGCCCAAAATTAAAAATCTAGCATGTCGAGTGGAGCTCAACAACATCAAACGAGTTCTAAACAAAAAATTTGAAGTTGAACGAAGGTTTGAAAACATCAAACCAATATCGAGCAAGGTGTAACACCGTTGAGTGAGAGTCAGTAGCATGGAGCAAAGTCCGACTGCATCACACGAAGCCCATGCACATTGAGTGAAAGTTCAGTGATGTCAACGAGGGCCCAATACATCGAACAAACTCCCAACATGTCATAATGTGTGATTTAGTGATGAAGGCCTCAAAATTGATTTCAAATATGACATCCTTCAAGCCCAATGAAATCGAAAACCAAAAAACTAAACTAAGTCAAAGAAAAAAAAAAATTGTTGAGAATTGTGAGATTATGATTATTTCTTACTTTTCAAAATAATAAATAAGTAGATAGAGGAGATCGAACGGCCATTCACTCCACAAAATTTGCCTATTTTTATTTTTATTTTTTATATTTTGCATTTTTTACTGTTTTAGATTTTATTTTTATTGTTTTCTTTGTTATTTTCTTTCTATTGAATTCTTATTTTTATTTTTTCATTTGTTTTTTACTATAGCCGTGTATTATATATTCTAAAATTTTGTTGTCCCTTAACGAATCCCCTGGTGGTGTGGGGGTTGGACGTGTGACCGTAAAGTCTTAAGAGATGGCCTAATAGTGTTGGAATTGGACGTGTGACCGTAAAGTCATGGGTTCAAATCCCCAGTTTTTACTATTATTAAAAACGATAAAAATTATATAATAAAAAATTAAAATCAAAACAAAAAGATCAGAGCCAACAAATATGTTTTTAACATCAGCTCAGGGTGAATTCTCATAAAACGAGCAAATAATTAATCCATGTCAAAAATATGTAATGTATATTGCATTCAAAAAATTAAACAAAAATATATATTTCCCATCCTGCATATCTAAAAGGGCCACATTGTCTTTTCACATCCAATACTAAGCCCTCAACCCTCACCATTATATGTAATTTTTTAAAACTATTTACACGGGCTATGGGAAATTTAAATATTACATCAAAAAAATTCAAAGCCTCTTGCCCTGCACCAAAAAAAAAAGAATTAAGTAAATAAATATAATACATGCAAAAATGACAATAAAAATACTAAAACTTTTGGATATGAATTTTCATGTGATATGTAGTTTTGTTATTTTTTTTCTTTTTATAATAATTAAAAAAAATAAGTGTTATGATTTTTTGGTAAAAAAATAGAAACATTATTACAAAGCAAAAAGAAAAGTAAACATTCTTTGTTCTTTTATCATTTTTTTTTCCAGAGTTTTTTCAAAAAAATTAATTAACTATACACATTTATTATTTTTATATTTCTTACACAATTTTCATGAAAAAAATTTAGTTTCAACAATCTCTCAAAACAAATACGACATAAAGATTAAAAAAAGAATAAATAAGTGTTTTAAATAAAAAAGTAAGAAAAGTAAAAAAATAATAATAATTGAAATTATGTTTAGAAATTCAGTTAGGAAATAAGGAGAAAGAAAAGAAAATGTAATAAAATTAATGTATTTGTTATAAATAAATAATAATAAGTAAATACTCCATCCAATCCGCTTCTAAAATTATATTTTTACTTTGTGTGTTATTATATTAATATTAAAAATATTTGTATTTATATAATTTTTTTACAAATATTATAAAATATTAATATGAGTATTTTTCTTCTATTTTCCCTAATATTCAAATATCAACAAGTAAATATACCCTTAAAGCCTTATGGTAGTATTTTTTATTTTTTATTTTTAACTTTGCTAATAATAAAATAAATTTTAACTGACAGACTAAAAAAATGAGTATAAATTTGACTGAAAAATTAGAGAGAAAAACTATGCCAATTTCGCGGCATTTTAGAAAACCAAAGAAATCAGAGAGAGCCGTTAGCTTACTTGGAAAATTGTGCCGAGAGTTTTCAAGGCGTGGGCGCGAAGGCGAAGAACATCCTTGGAAACACTAGGATCGGTGAGCACCTAGAAATAGAATGCAACAACATTAAACAATGTTAGCTTATGTTGTAAGATGTAATAACAATCACTTTTTGCAAATGTTAAAAGTAGATCTGACAATCTCATGAATTAGTTTAAGTTTAATCATCGACTTGACAATGTCGAAAGGCTAAAAAGATCAGCAGAGCTTACCACTTGACACACACGAGACACGGTTGATTCGATGTCGGGTACATTCATCTGCCAGAAGGAGCTAAAGATGGCATCTTTTAGATCGTCGTCCATTTTGTTTGCATTGTCGTTGTCGTTGTTATCTGTATCCTCCTCTTCTTTGCTCCTCCTCCATTCCTCCCGGAGATTAATGTAGTTAATAGCCGCTGGGATGTTAATTTACGAATAAGTTACATGAATCGATGGAATTTTGAAAAAAAAAAAAAAAGATTTAAATCTTGTTGTACCTCGAGCTGCAGAAAACTTGGTGTTTCTTGTGTGTGTTTTGTCCCTTAACCATTCGGCTAGAAATGGTATCATCAAATACCGTTTTCCCTTCCCGATTTCTTTCGCTGCTTGCCTTGTGTAGATGTTTCCGATAGTCTGCAACAATGTCTTGCCGAAAGCTGGAAAATAACAGAATAATAATTCCGAATAAGTTATAGACTTTGCTTCGTAATTCTGTTTGTATAAATTGGAACACTGAGACACATACCGACTTGAGAAAGGCGTTCAGCTTCTGATTGTGCAAACTCGACAAAATCGTCTTTTTGGCCATCTACGTATGGTGCGAGCCGATTTTTCATAATTTCCATGAGTTTTGCTTCCCTTTCCTCTTGCAATGCCTGTAGTGAAGAATAGGGAAGGATTGAAATTATTGTTCGATACAATGAATTGTATGGAGAAGATTGAGTTTAAACAAACCTTCAATATCTTCTCCAACTTGGGTTTCTGAACTTCAGGGGGTATGGTGGGATCGAATTCGGGAGGTGGCGAAGAAAGCAATGAGAGTTGCCCGACATAATCCTCGAAAATTTCGTTTACAAAGACCATTCCGAAAAGAACAGTAGGATCAACTATAGAATCCCTGAAATTGGAAAGAGAAGAGTCAACTTTTCTGTTTTGCATCTCATCACCGAGTTAAAAAATAAAATTGATAAACAAGGTCTAATGCTGTCTACATGTAGGTTGCTAAACAATACATGGATAAATGCTGTGTAAATTTGTTCGGCATTAGTTGTCATCCATGCAATTAAGATGCTGATTTAATGGATCAAATTTTGTCCCAAGCATTCCCTTCATGTCATCGAACTCGATTCTAGGAAATTTCATTTGGGCATCATCAAGAATTTTACATGACAGACTCATGAATATAGAATGAATTAAGCATATAAATATTGTTTCCTATCTTCTCCTACATACAAAATGAATCACTACGACTGCAAATATGCATATTCATAGATCAATCGAGCGTATGCAATTCTATCATTCATGGTTTCAGATAAATTTTTGTTGAGAATTCAGGGCATTAAATTGCCAAGTGTCACTGTCCGTAAATTTATATAGCCAATCTAAAATTTAAACTTGAAACCTTGTAAAGGCCTTAAGGGATCCTATTTACTTTTATAAAAATTAATGTATGTATACTCACGTTGGCACATCTTCTTTCCCATATTCGTCATATGCTTTACGCCTTTGAGGGTCACTTAGGACTTGATAGGCCTCTCCAATTTCCTGTATACGACATTATTAAAAGTTGTAGATAATGACTTCACCCAATAGTGTAGGAACTATAGAAAGGCTGTCCATAGGCATTTTGCTCAAGATGTATAATGTACAAACTCAAAATTAGTTTGAAAAAGGTACAATAATATACAAGTTGGAACTCAAAGTGCTTAGTAATATATTGATATTGTTCGTATAATTGAGCTTCTTATGCTATAAGGATTTAGTGGGAATGGAAAGTTAATCCTCTATGGTGTTACCAAAAACTCAAAATTGGTTTTGGTCCAGTGCATTCATGTAATCGTTGCATTTTCAATAAGGCTATTATTATCATTTGTCATCTCAAATACTATAATTAGGAGAAACAAAGAGGAGGAACTTACAGTAATGTATTCTCCTCTCTCTATACACACACACATGCACACTTTATCGATTTACGTAGCAAAGCATCAAGTATGGAATTTTATAATAGAGTAAACAAATGAAATCTATGCACGATCACCAGTGGGAAGTTAATACTAATAGATTACTTATAGCTTACATTAAAATCTCGAGCAGCAGCTTCTGGATCTGCGTGGTTTTTGTCAGGATGCATCTCCCTCGCCTATAAACAAAAGCAAAAAAAATTAGTAACAAGTTTCAGACAACGAAAACAATTTCTCCCCATTGAAATTGATAGAACAAACAATACAGAATCAATATAAAATGGATCAATCTAAAGTAAATAAAATGAATCGTTGTACACATATATTAAATGCAGAACAAAGGTGCTGCCAATGGAAATACAGCTAGACTTTCATGCTGCACATCGCATTCAATTTCCAATGGAAGCAACCAGTGAAAAAAGTTTTCAATGATTATACATAGTGAGCTTGATCGACTGAATATATGAAGAAGCAGAAATATTACAAAAGATTTTGTGAATCTTATTTCACAGAACAGATCAGTATGTAGGGCATAAACTATCCCAATGGCAGAAGGTTTGAAAAATGTCAAGTCTTCAATGAACAATTTCGAACCTAGACTATGAATGAACAGAAGTAATATCTAGGCATTGATCAAACTTTCAAAACAGATCTCCTAGTCTTTTATATCCTAACAAATGGCAACGATATATTATTGCAATGAACTAGGTATGATCTATACAAAATTTATGAAAGATGCCAATTGTAACAACAACTCATCAATCCAAATTGGTTGCATACAAAACATATTTGGCCATAGAAGGGTATAATTGCTCTTATAGGAAAACATAAATACCAAACACAGGGCTGGCAATAAAATATTCTCTGTCGTTTTCACTTGATGCATGATTTTTTGCAGGCTTTTATAAACATACCATAAAAAAATCACCAATTCAAATCAACCATAAAAAATCACCAATTCAAAATCAACAACGGTGATACAATTAGAATGCCATCACCTTCAGGTAGTATGCCTTTTTGATTTCCGGAAGAGACGCGTCTTCTTGGACGCCCAACACCTCATAATAATATTTATCCACAGCCATATTTTACATCCAACTGAAATGAAATCATATATATTTATATATCAATAAGCAATTTCCAAACAAATCAAAATCCTATTGCGGAAGGCAAATCATACGATTACAGCACAAATCAATCAAACATACACGGGGAGGAATTTATAATTTCCCATAACCTACACCGCAATTGATATTGATTTTCAGATTCCTTCATTACAATCAGATGAAACATAATGATAATAACAATATACCAAACACCGAAGTATGCGGAAAGTCGATTACAGGGAAATAACGAAGACGACAACAAACACAATTTTTCTCGCAGGCAATAATATACAACCGAGATCAAAGGAAAAGCAGGAATCGAACTAACGAGATCGATTTTTGATGAGAGGAATATCGATGGAATCCCTAGCTCAAAACTCGATTCTTGATGCTTTGCTGTGGAAAATCGAAAATCAAAGGGATAAGTTTTTTAACCTTTTTGGGATCTTGAGGTATTTATAGCTGTCTGCTCGACCGTTGTTGAGCTTCACTGCCTTATGTTTTCTTAGTATTTTATTAAATAAAATATACCTTTTTTAATATATATGGAATGTGTTTCTCATGTTTTTCTATATCCCTTTCATTTTCGTTATTTTGGAGTTTTTTTTTTTAAATAATAAATTTAGATAATTAATTAAAATTTGTTAGAATACTAAATAATCTAACAAAATTTAAATTTATTGAGATAATAAATAAATAAAATATAAATAAAATTCAAATTTTGTACATCTATATATACTTATTTTTAATTCTATAAATTATTTAATTTTAAAAATATTTGTTTTATTTTTAAGAATCAATTTTTTTTTACTTATATTAATATATTTTCTTTGATTCATTTATATATAAAATAGAAATAATGATTATAAAAATAATACTTAAATCAGAAGAAGATATTGAAAAACATTACTTCGTTAAACAATTTGGTCAAATATAAATTTTCAGAAAATATTTATGATTAGCCGTCTTAAATATTTACTCTTTAAGAAAAGTTTGCATTGAATTATGTGCACTTTTTTTTTTTAAGGGCTCATTTAAAATTTTTTTTGGAATGATACAAAACTAATTAATTTCTGATTCTCTTTTCATAAACATACACAATTCTAATCTCATAAAATATAGTATTCAAATTATTAATCAAATAAAAATAATAATACAAGTTAAAGAGACAATTTTTTTTTTTAATTTTTATTTTAATTGAAATTTTTTCTTATCTGATTTATTGTCTCATTTTGATCAACTCATTATTTTTCTTTTTCAACTCGAAATATGTCATCCTCTAAAGATCAATTTATCTAAATCATTCTATTTCTATTTTTATATTTTTCCATTGAATTTTTCTATTTTACAAAAGTGGACAATCAATTATCATTTTTTTTGTTGAATTTTTATCTCTTTTTATTATTTGTTGTCATTTTCTACCAATTTTTTTCCCCAAACGCACACCTACTCCAAAATACACAAACGAATAACACCTTTAGTTTTTTCTTTTTTAAAAAAATTTAAATTTAAATAATATTTGATGTATAGTTTTTTTTTTTTTTGGTATAATGAAATAGATATTTGAGATGATATTTTGAATGAAAGTTTGATTTCTTTTGTAATATACTATCTCCATCTCAAATGAAAAGAACCCTTTGAAGTTTTGTAAAGAAAAAATTAATATTATATTAGTAGAAGTGTCTAAGAATTTTTGACATTTTTGTGTTTGACTTTATGTATAAATTAATTGTACATATAATGGTAAATTTACAATTTAAATAAAAATTAAAGGCATTTTGTTATTATTGTAAATTATTTTTTTCTAAAATATAAAAGAGATACTTTGAAGTGTAACATACAAAATACTAAAAAAAATACTTTGAATAGAGACATACGAAGTATTAATAACAATATATATACTTTATAATTTAATACTCTCTCTCTCCACATGATTTGTCATTTTCTTTTAGAAATATGATTATACACTTTAATCACATTTTAAAATTCATAATATACAATAGGTCAATATGTGTTGCGAATATTAGAATATATATAGATATACACAAAAAAAAAAAACAATAATTTGGTAATTCAGTTTGATTACAATAATTTATATCCTAGGTTGCGAAATCAGATACTTGCACTAGCAATTTCAATAGTGCAACAACCAGTATAATTCAACAAAATGACAATCAAATCAAAATTGATTTACAGTCTATCGTGTGAATATGGTATCCACTTTGATGTATAATTCCTAATGATTGAAACAAACCAAAAATGGAGAAATTTAGAAATTTTGTTTCATGGTCACTTAAAGAGATTTTGACATATTGTTTAAACCGATTTTCAATCAAAATAAGAAATTTCTTTGTACATTCAAAAACTTCATATATGTTAAAGGGCAAGAACGCCCAAATATCAAGGAAAAAATGATCTACAGGAATTAGAAAATACTTAAATTATTTTATATTCAACTTTGCATGGACTTCAAATTTTAAAATAGTTTAATTTATCTAAAATGGTTGTTTCAAATTATATATATTTAATTTAAATTGTAATTAAAATTGTTAGTATATATATAATATTGTATATATATACATGGTTACCAAAATACACTTGTACATATAAAGTAGAGTTTATTGTGTTTATTGGAAGATAATTCAAAAATTCAATTTCCTAAAATTTTCAATATGGTATCAGAGCTGCCATTCCCGTCGAGCCCCTTTGCCGCCATCGCCGGTTGACACCACCCCTACCATCGTCGTCACGCCGCCAAGACCGGCCATTGCCGGAAACCTAGAAGCCTTCGCCGGTGCGTGACACCGCGTGGAGCAGAAACTGTTTCTGCTGCCTGCTGCTGGATCGTACTCCGCCACCGTCCAGACGCCGCCGGCCATCACCTCCACCACCAACAGCTCTACCGCATCCGGTTCAGCTTGCCCCCTAAATCCCGCCGCCGTCGCCGGGTGCGTCCCGCCACCTGGAGCCAGACCTCCAGTCGCCGGTGACTGTTCTGTCCGCTGCCGTCCGGCGACCTCCGACCGCCATTTTCAGCGTCCGACGTCCTGCTTTTATTCCCGACTTCAACGTATGGTCAGATTTTGGATTCGGCAATTTTTTCTCTACTGATTCGGAATTTGATATCTGCTTTTTTCTTTCGGAATATTTCGATGGAGCGAATGGAGGTTTCTTTGCCTATTGCCATTGTTTTGGTGGGTGATAATTATGATCTTTGGGCCGATTCCATGAAAAGTTTTTTGATTGGCGGAAAAATGTGGAGAATTGTTATGGGAGATTTTACAGCGCCTGTCAAACCTGTAGTTACTTCTGATCATGCTCTAACTCACACAGGATATTATTACCTACCAAGAGCAGTTAGAGGATTGGGACAGCAAGAATCATCAGATTTTTACGTGGTTTCGGAATACTTCTAGTCAGGCCATTCAGATTCAGCTACGCCGTATTGACACTGCTCAACAAGCATGGAATTATTTGAAGTCACGATTTTAGGCTACCGGTCTTGCCCATTACTATCAGCTCCTCAACTCATTGAACGATTTGACACATGAACCGGGATAGTCTGTAAATGACTTCTTCTCTACCATTCAACCTCTTTGGGATCGCATTGATCAAAAGGCCATTGAGTCTGATCACCTTCGGCTCATTCAGCTTCTTATGAAGCTCCATCCAGAATTTGAACCTGTCCATGCCTCGTTACTTCATCGTCACCCTTTTCCTTCATTAGATGCAGCTATGAAAGAAATTATGTTTGAGGAGACCCGCCTCAAACTTACTCAGTCATCTATATTGGACTCTGCATTGGCTGTCACATCTCAATCCTTTGGTCCTACTCGTCGGGGTCCCATTTCTCGTCAGACTCAGTCCAATAGATGTCGACGTTGTAAGAATGGTGATCATCCATATACTCAGTGCCCCAAAGTCAAGTATCACTACTGCCATCTTCGGGGTCATGTCATTCAGAATTGTCCCCGTCGTACTCGATCTTCTTCTCAGATTGGTAGTTCATCTGTTGTAGTTGCTGCTACAAATGTTTCACAGTCTGTTGTGGCCTCGCTTCCCACTCTTCAGGACCTTCATAAGCTATTTACCCAGGTTCTTTCTGCCAATTCTGATTCTCATACAACCCCATGTAACACCCGTTGGTATTTTGATTCTGCATGTTGTAATCATATGACGTCTAATACCAAACTTCTGTGTTCCTCTGCTCCCACTACGACCTTACCTCCCATACACACCGCTAATGGCTCTTGAGAAAACAGGCACTTGGGATCTTGTGCCTCTTCCGACGGGCAAACGCCCTATTGCGTGCAAGTGGGTCTATACGATTAAAACTCACTCTGACGGTTCGATTGAGCGCTACAAAGCTCGTCTTGTGGCGAAGGGGTATTCTCAGGAGTATGGTATTAACTACGAAGAAACTTTTGCTCCAGTCGCTCGTCTTACCACTATTCGGTGCGTACTTGCGATTGCTGCTGTTCGTCAGTGGTCCCTGCGTTAGTTGGATGTCAAGAATGCCTTCTTGCATGGTGATTTGACTGAGGATGTCTATATGACTCCCCCTCTAGGTATTGAGACATCCGGCAAGGTATGTAAATTGCGTCGGGCTCTCTATAGTTTGAAACAGGCTCTCTGCGCTTGGTTTGCCAAATTCAGCTCCGCTCTTACTCAATATGGTTTTTCTTCTAGTGCTCATGATTCGGCTCTCTTTATACGTCGAAGCTCCTCTGGGATTATTATTCTCCTGTTGTATGTTGACGATATAATTGTCACTGGGGACGACTGACCTGTCGTGCAGTCAATCAAATATTTCATCCAATCCGTGATCACAATTTAATGTAATACAGGGGAAGGGATCGTCTCCACAGGGATTGTGTGATTCACTCTTTCGTATTCTAATGCAATAAATAAAGGAGGATTTTTCTTTTATTATCTAATGAAAATAAAATAACAAAGCAATTAAATTAAATGGAAACTGACTATCAAGGGGATGTATGGCTCAAGGGATGATGCAATTATGGCACTTGTATTTTATCACTAATTCAATAAAGTTAATTCTTATTAAAGTATCAATAAATTGGTTATAGTTATCAACAAGCTCTGACAACCAATTTTTCCTTACAGTGTAGGTAATTAAGGTACGACCGTTAACTACCCCTAATTAAGCAAATAAACCTAGGTGCGCCCATAAGAATATTGCCTAACCGCATTCCAATCTAGAAAAACTCAATTCAAAACAATTACTACCTAAGAGGAGCAATTAGATTTGATTGTCTAACCCCCGGGAAGGAACTATTCAACCCGGTTGTCACCTATTCAAGTGCGAATACAATTACGGATATCCTACCTGAATTGACTTTAGATTATCAGACTAATTTAAATATCGGTACCAAAATATTCAATCAATTTAACAATCACAAACGCTATTCTCAGAATTAGACAAATATCGATAATCAAAAAAACTTTTAT